GTTGCGACGATCGGGAATCGTTTGTTTCCCGGAGCCCGCGGTAATGGTCTGATGATGTCAAGTCCCCATTGAGCGAACGGCCAAGGACTAGTAGTGGAATTTAATTCTTCGGCAAGCAAATGAGTTAATGGGAAAAACTTTTGGCATTGTTCGTATTTCTTTACGTAGTTCTCGGCTGTAGTACGCATGGTCGGCCAATGATACCCCTGCGTTACGGGTCGGTGGGCCAATGAGCGTCCTTTAGAGGGGGCACTGCAACTACGTTCATGTATTTCGGCCAAGAATTTCTCAACTTTGTCTGGATGAACACATTCCAGATACGGCCCAGAGAGATTTTTTGTTAAGTTTTCCTTGCGGATCCATATAATATTGCAAGGCTTTATTCCGTAATTTGTGAGCTTCTTTCTAATCTGTTGGGAGCTCTTCTGAGGAAAGAAATGCAGCGATAGGATCCATCCAACTCGATCTTGGTTCAATAATGTTAATTTGAACTGGTTTAGAAGAGGTGATGCTCGGCTCTGGGATGAACCTTACTTCGATTGTTCGTTTGATTTCTGAGTTAATGGCGAAAGCTAGGCAAGCAAGGGCATCCGCATGCGTGTTCTGATCCCGGGTTATCTGATTCAATTCATGGTGGTCGAATTTTGTGAGTAAGGAATTTATCGTTTTCATGTAGGTTACCATACGGTCATTTTTAGCGCATATTCCCCCTTCAACTAATTGATGACTAACTTCGAGTCACAGAAAACATGTAACCGCCGTGCACCAAGATGAAGTGTGTTACGAAGGCCAGTTAGCAATGCTTCGTATTCGGCCTCGTCATTTGATGCATCGAAGCCCAGTTTGACTGCCTGCTCGATTATTGTCCCTTCGGGGCTCATGATTACTATGCCTACCCCGCTGCCACGCTAGTTGGATGATCCGTCACAATACATTTGCCAAATGTCTCCAACATATATTCGCTAGTCGGGTTTAAGTTGAAGGCAGGCTTGATCGGGCTTGAAGTCGGCATGGCATCCCATGAACTCGGCTACAAAGTCGGCGAGCACTTGCCCCTTAGTGGTTGTTCTAGGCAAAAACTGGATATCATACTGGCCGAGTTCCAAAGCCCACTTAGAGACTCGCCCCGATGCTTCCGCACTACGTAGCGCTGATCGGAGAGGATAGTCCGTTAATACCCCTATGGTATGAGCCTGAAAATAATGCATCAACTTTCTTGCAGCCATTGCGAGAGCAAGGATGAGCTTTTCTAGTGGTAAGTATCGTGTTTTGGCGTCGGCCATTGCCTTGCTTACATAATAAATTGGTCGCTGCTCTTCGAGTTCTTCCTTTAGTAACACGGTGCTGACTGCCTGGTCGGATATCGCTAGATACAAGATGAGCGGGTCGCCTGGCAATGGGGTTGCCAAGAGTGGCGCTGAACGGAGATAAGTTTGCAAGCCGTCTAGCGCGGCCGCGCACTCGGGGGTCCATTGGAATGCTTTACCCTGCCGAAGTGTGTGAAAAAATGGTCGGCAACGATTTGAGGAACGGCTGATAAACCTATTGAGGGCAGCGGCCATTCCCATCAACTTCTGAATTTCTTTGACCGACTGAGGGGAGCCAAGTTCTAGAATTACTGTGATCTGCCTCGAGTTGGCCTTTATTCTGCAATGGTTGACAATATAGCCAAGAAACTTGCCGGATCTGATGCCGAATGCACATTTCGAGGCGTTCAGTTTCATCTTGTACTTTCAGAAAACGTCGAAGGTCTCTGTTAAATCGGCTAGATAGGCGTGCTTTTCCTTGGATTTCACCACCATTTCATCGATGTATACTTCCATGGTGCGGCTGAGTTGTTCCTTAAACATAGTGGTAACCAGCCTCTGGTAGGTTGCCCTCGTATTCTTCAGCCCAAAGGGTATGACCTTGTAACAATAGGTTCCCCTTGGGGTGAGGAATGCGGTCTTTTCCTGATCCTCCGGATGCATAGCAATTTGGTGATAACCCCTGTAGGCATCCAAGAAGCTCATGCGTTGATGATATGCCGTTGCGTCTACAAGTTGGTCGATTCTGGGAAGAGGAAAACAATCCTTAGGACAAGCCCTGTTCAAATCCATGAAATCCACACAGACGCGCCAAGATCTATCCTTTTTCTTTACAACCACGATATTGGACAGCCACGTGGGATAAGTTATTTCACGAATTGCCCCGGCATCAAGCAACTTGTCAACTTCATCAACAGCGGCCGATGCATGCTCCGCGGTTGACCGCCGACTTTTCTGAATGATTGGTTTGAATTTTAGATCGACGTTTAAATGATGCTAGGCCAGTCTAGACCCACCCCCGGCATTTCGTATAGTGTCCATGCAAACACGTCGAGATTGCCGAATAAGAAGGAAACCAACTCACGTCTGTCAACTTCGTTCAAGAAAGTCCCGATCATGAAGAATTTGTCAGGGCTCCCACTGATTTCGATCCAATCAAGGTCTTCGGTTGCCTTCTCGCTAGGGATTTTCCCAATGTCCTCAAGACTCTCTCGATCCGGTGCTTCAATCGAGTTCACTTCCAGTTCCTTTGGCCCTTTTGCAGCAGCAATAAGATAGCATGCTTATGTCGATTTCTGAGAGCCCTGAGTTTGCTTAATGCCATATTCAGTTGGTAGGTGCTTGGCACAGCTTGCATAACATGCAACCAGGTCCTTCCCATAATAAGATTGTATGGCGAGGAGAGTTTGACAACCAGAAATTCTACGACAACTGATTTGGTACCCGCCTGTACTGGTAGTGTAATCCTGCCCAAGGGATACTTGGGGTTGGCGTTGAAGCCGAACAATGGAGAATCGGCCGGTAACAGATCCGAATCACCGAAGCTGAGTTTGATGAACGTCTTATAATACATTATTTCTTAGGTGCTGCCCTCATTGATGAGAACACGCTCGACTGTGAATCGGTTCACGCATAACTCGACAACGAGGGGATCAGCATGGGGGAGAGTTTCTCCATCTAGGTCGGTGTTGTCGAAACTAATCTTGTCAGTTTCATGGGGCCGTTTGGCTGGTGTGATTGGCTTCAATAGGCTAGGTTGCAACTAAATTGTATGTATTTGGGCTGACGACAGTAGGTTGTATATCATGTAAATTACACCAAGTGGAGGTGAATCCATCCGTAGAGCTACCATGTTCAGTGGATTGTTCTTTCGGACATGTTGCGCCAGTCGGCTGTCTTGCACTAATTTCTCCAGGTGGTTCTTATGCATAACAGCTGTCAATGTCATGGCCATGGTCCTTGTGATATTCGCACCGCCTATCCCTTCTCCTAGTATCAAGGGGCTCCATCATCTTGGGCGGCCACTTGAAGAAATGAAGAATCGTCTGTTCCCAGTCCCTCATGCCAAAGGTCCTACAATGTCCAAGCCCCACTAAGCGAAAGGCCATAGGCTAGTGAGCGGGGTGAGATTTTTTATTGGCTGATGAATCAGAGGAGCAAACCTCTGGCACTTGTCACACTTCTGAACGTACTGTTGTACGTCCTACTGCATTTGTGGCCACCAGTACCCGTGAGTGAGGGCACGATGCGCCAGTGACCTTCCACTAATGTGGCTTCCACAAATCCCATCGTGAATTTCATAAAGAACATTTTTGACTAGATTTGGGTGCACACATAACAAATAGGGACCAAGGTAGGAGCGTCTGTACAGTTTCCCAGATGGTGAGATCCAAAATCGAGCTGATCTGTGTCGAACTTTATTTGCTTCTTTTTAATAAAGTACGAAGAAAGGCTTCATTCGATCTGAGGACTTGCTAATAAATCGGTTTAGGGTTGCCACCATTTTGGCTAGTTTCTGTAGTTCTTTGGCCTTTGTCGATATCTCTATTTCCTGTATTGCTTGGATATGATCCGGATTTGCTGCAATTCCTCTGTGAGTTACCATGTACCGCAAGAACTTCCCTGTTTCTACCCCGAAAGCGCATTTCGAGGCATTGAGGCGAAGTTGATGGATTTTCAGGATGTTAAAAACTTCCCTTAGATCTGTGATCTGTGGGGTCTGATTTTCCATCATACAGGGTGAATGTCAGTGCTTTGAACTTTTTAGGTAGCACAGCTCTTGCAATGCATCGTACGAAAGGGTCGTGCTTGTCCTCTTCATCCGAACCATCACTTCCTTTCCCTCGCCTGTGCCGTACATACGGACTTCCTTCGGTCCAAGCATGTTTCTTGGAGTAATGTCATCTCTTGGTGTAACATCATCAACAATTATCGAAGGATCATCTGTCACGCTTGCCATGGACGCACTTGAGGATTCCCACAGACGGCGCCAATTGTGGTGAGGTGGTTTGGAAATACTCTTGGATCCAGTTAGACGCTCTTAATCCTCTGATTGCTAACTGAAAAAGGGATGAATACTCCGGTCGGGGGTGTCGGAATTAACACTCCGACAGACAAGTCAGTATTTTCTCAAATTTACTTCTATCTCAAGTTATCTTGTTTATTTTCACATCCCTCTTTTTGGCTGACATTCCTCCCTTTTTATATTACGTCTGGGCCCAAGGGTCGGGCCCACTCTTGACCTTGCATATAATTATTTAGTGGGTCTTCCAGTTTAGTCTTGGCTCCCGTTCGGCTCCTTATATGGCCGATTCGTATACTTGGCTTCATGGGCACCTGGTCAGGACCAAATTGTCTTCGGCCTAATGTCTCAACCGGATGGCTCGGCCTTTCTTCCCCATTGATTCAATTCGGCCTCCACAGAATTAAATCATAAACCGTAAGATTCTAACAAAGCCGTTTTTGTATAATATATGAGAAAACTAATGCTTTACCAAAAGCCAGCAAATCTTATAACATGGTATAGGCAGAGGTGAACATCCCTGGAACACACAAACAATAATCTTGTGCACAAGAACTTCAGCTTTGATCTAGTAGAAAAGGCCACAGTTTAGTATTTGTGTTCTTTATGTTCTTGTACCTCATTTTCTTTTCACATTTCAATTGACAAGTTTCATGGTGGTAATTTTGCAGGGACTAGCAAAATCCTTCAATGAAAACCATTATCCAGATCGAGCTATGAAAGAAAAATTGGCAACAGAATTTGAAATTACAGTTAAACAGGTTAGCAAATGGTTTGCAAATGCACGTTGGAAATTTCACCATCCATTGCCTGCCAGGCAGAGATCTACGACCTCAGGAGTTCGCAAGAGAAAAAGTAAGCCAGATGATCATCAAGGATCAGGTTAAATTCCAAGCGTTGAGAGGAGCAACTGAAACAGAAGTCTTCATCTTTCAGGTGAGTGCTTTGAACTTGTGCTCATATCCTCAGCTACAAAAAGATTCTTGGCCCCAACCAACACGGCATATGCCAAAACCAACATCTGCGTGATGTATCTCATCAAGAAATTTTCCCGAAACGCTAAAAGCATTTCCATAACCTTGTCCTCTTGTCCAACGATTCCGCCATGCATGCATTGTGCATATTTACTTTCATTATGACCTGAAATGTTGTGAAAAACCTTGTCCTCTGGTCCAACTGATTCTGCCATGCATGCATTGTGCATATTTACCTTCATTGTGACCTGAAATGTTGTGAAACACATAAATTGTCTTGGAAACACAATGGACTCATTCGAACAAAATACCCATGGCTTCCATTTTTTATTTATTTATTATTGTTTTCTATTCTGTCTGGCACAATGACCATTTGCATGATATGATGTGAAGGTTGAGAGTAAGAACCTATGAGGAGGGTGGTGGTGGAAGAAGATTGTATGGATCTATATTTGATTTATAAATGATGATTATTTCCTTTTTTTTTTTTTTTTTTTTTTTGATGATGATGTTCCTTACAAAAAAAATAAATAAATAAATAAAGAATTGAAAACCTGTTCGCTGTTTTTTGTAACCAGAAAATAGAAAACTGACAATGTTATGATACCCAAGTAATTGGGGATAGGATTCTTTGTGTTTGGATTATCAGATTTTAGTTTGTCTTGCAACAAACAGTAAATACCATTTTAGTTGTTGTCTTAGGGCTTTGCCAAATAGCCCCAAATAGCTATATTCTCTGTAGTAAGAGCTGGTGGTTTGTCCATAATTAACATGCAGTGCTCGAACACTTGTACATCACCATATTCAATAATAATTCATTATATTAAACAAATCTTAGCACTATGATAACTTTTATTATCTTGTATCAGTTCCATGGCTGTATGGTCTTCCTCGTGTTTAAGATGACTTTAATAATATGGATCATTTTTTAACAATACTCCTCTGGAGATTTACTTTCTGTTTGACAACTGCTACATTTTAATTTTATTTTTTTGAGTTCAGTAAATTTTCATTCTTTGTTTTTTTGTGTCAAGTTTTTTTATTTTTCAAGTTCATCTAGTCTAGAAGGATTCAGTAAGTAATTTTAAAAAAAATTCTTAATTTTTTTAATCTTCAGTGGAGTTTTTTTTTTTTTTTTTTTTTCCTTTTTCGGGCCATTTTTTTTGTTAAAAAAAATTAAAAAGGAAAAATTTTTATTTTAAATTTTTTAAAACATTCACTTAAGACGAAAAAAAAAATTAAAATAGCAATTGTCAAACCGAATTTTAAATTGATGTGTGGTGCTACTTTTGTGCAAACGGGGTTGACCTTCAGCTTTGGCTTATCTTTGCAGGATTTCGTTGTTGATGCTTGCGGTTGCTGGTAGAGGTCGTGCAGTTAGTGCCTGCCTTTCTGTTTCAATTTTAGTTCATGATGGTTTGTTTCTATGTCTGTTAGTTTATATGAAAGTGGAAACTCTATGTTCCCTAACTTTATTTCTGAAGTTTTTATTTATTCTCAAAAAATATTGATCAAGGATTGCAAGTTTAAAAGTTGAGGTTGTGTAGCTGGTGCTTGCCTTTCTTTTTCAGTTTTAGCTTATGACAATCTTTATGTATGTTGGTTTATATGTAAGTGGAAACTCTATGTTCCCCACCTTTATTTATGAAGTTCTTATTTATTATCAAAAAAATATTGCTTAAGGTTTGCAAGTTTAAATAATGAGGTTGTGTTGGCTTTTTCTGGGCCTTCGAAGGTTTTGAAAGTAATTTTGAGTGGGCTGGAAAAGATTGAATAATCCAAAATTAAAGCCAAACATTTATCAAGCAATTGTATTGATATTCTTTTTACCTTGGTTCGTTTTGCTTCTCATCCCTCACTATATAAAGAGATCTGTGTACTGTTCACAGTACACAATTCAATATACAATTCTCTTCTCTTTTATATTCTATCAATTAGATAACAATCAAAAACAAATTCTCAGCCAATGTAGGGTTGTCTCTGTATGATCTGCACAGAAACACACAAAAATCTAGTCTTTTATCTTTTAACCATTTACATAAAAGAAAAGAAAAAACACAATATCAAATAGAATTCTAGAATTATAATATTTAAAAAAAATTGAACAAGGTTCATAAAATATCACTTAATATTATTGTTCTCGCATTTTTAGTAGTAAAATTGAATTAAGAGCTCATGCTTGAGATTGAATTAATTCCTCTACTTTTTTGTAGGTAAATATTTTATAGAAAGTATGATTAAATAAACAATCCAACCAAAAATAATCAATTCAAATTTTAAAGATTTTGATTTTCAAGTAGAATCTAGAATGATACAAAATTTGAAGTATATAAAAATATACTTAAAACTTCATAAATGTAATATTATAATAGTGAATTGGGTTGGGTCGAAATTTGGTAGAGTGAAAATCATTTACTTTGCACCTTCCATTAATAAAACACAATTTTTTTTTTTTTTTGATTTTTGTATTAAACCCCAAAGTTAGTTGGATTTTGGTAACTTAAAATTAAAATAATCGGGAGTCCTCCACTAATAATAACAATTTATCTTTGTGTTTGGTGCTGAGGGGTAAATTTAGTTGGGATTTTACAAGTTTGCAGCTGGTCCTCCGTTTAATTGAAACCCAACAAAAAGATTTTTGTTCAATAAGTACAAAAATAATTTTTAGATTGAGAGTGTCAAAATATTTTTATATTTCAAGTTCGTCTTGTCTAGAAGTATTCAATAAGTAATTTTATTTTTTAATCTTCAGTGGAGTTTTTTTTTTCACTTTTCAGGTCCATTTATTAGTCTAATAAAACTTAAAAGTGAAAAGTTTTATTTTAAAATTTTTAATAAACATTCACTTAAGACGAAAAAAAAAATTAAAATAGCAATTGTCAAACCGAATTTTAAATTGATGTGTGGTGCTACTTTTGTGCAAACGGGGTTGACCTTCAGCTTTGGCTTATCTTTGCAGGATTTCGTTGTTGATGCTTGCGGTTGCTGGTAGAGGTCGTGCAGTTAGTGCCTGCCTTTCTGTTTCAATTTTAGTTCATGATGGTTTGTTTCTATGTCTGTTAGTTTATATGAAAGTGGAAACTCTATGTTCCCCACCTTTATTTCTGAAGTTTTTATTTATTCTCAAAAAATATTGATCAAGGATTGCAAGTTTAAAAGTTGAGCTTGTGTAACTGGTGCTTGCCTTTCTTTTTCAGTTTTAGCTTATGACAATCTTTATGTATGCTGGTTTATATGTAAGTGGAAACTCTATGTTCCCCACCTTTATTTATGAAGTTCTTATTTATTATCAAAAAAATGTTGTTTAAGGTTTGCAAGTTTAAATAATGAGGTTGTGTTGGCTTTTTCTCGGCCTTGGAAGGTTTTGAAAGTAATTTTGAGTGGGCTGGAAAGGATTGAATAATCCAAAATTAAAGCCAAACATTTATCAAGCAATTGTATTGATATTCTTTTTACCTTGGTTCTTTTTGCTTCTCATCCCTCACTATATAAAGAGATCTGTGTACTGTTCATAGTACACAATTCAATATACAATTCTCTTCTCTTTTATATTCTATCAATTAGATAACAATCAAAAACAAATTCTCAGCCAATGTAGGGTTGTCTCTGCATGATCTGCACAGAAAACACAAAAATCTAGTCTTTATCTTTTAACCATTTACATAAAAGAAAAGAAGAAACACAATATCAAACAGAATTCTAGAATTATAATATTTAAAAAAAAATTGAACAAGGTGCACAAAATATTACTTAATATTATTGTTCTCGCATTTTTAGTAGTAAAATTGAATTAAGAGCTCGTGCTTGAGATTGAATTAATTCCTCTACTTTTTTGTAGGTAAATATTTTATAAAAAGTATGATTAAATAAACAATCCAACCAAAAATAATCAATTCAAATTTTGGAGATTTTGATTTTCAAGTAGAATCTGGAATGATACAAAATTTGAAGTATATAAAAATATAATTAAAACTTCATAAATGTAATATTATAATAGTGAATTGGGTTGGGTCGAAATTTGGTAGAGTGAAAATCATTTACTTTGCCCCTTCCATTAATAAAACACAATTTTTTTTTTTTTTTGATTTTTGTATTAAACCCCAAAGTTAGGTGGATTTTGGTAACGTAAAATTAAAATAATCGGGAGTCCTCCACTAATAATAACAATTTATCTTTGTGTTTGGTGCTGAGGGGTAAATTTAGTTGGGATTTTACAAGTTTGCAGCTGGTCCTCCGTTTAATTGAAACCCAACAAAAAGATTTTTGTTCAATAAGTACAAAAATAATTTTTAGATTGAGAGCTATCTTATAATCCAATTTTGTGGATCAAAAGTGACCGTTTTACCAGCTATTTCTCACGACTTGCTTTGATTCAATAACTTAAGTTCGAGCTCTGAGCTCAATCATTAGGGTTCGTTTGGGAAGTTGATTAGCTTTTTGATTTTTTTAACTATTTTAGCTTGGAGCTAAAAAGTTTCGTTTAAGAAGGGCTTTTGACTTTTTTGACTTTTCTGTGAGAAAAAAAATGTAATGATTATAAGATGGATGTGATATTTTGTCTTATTAAGCTAAAAAATCTATTTTGTTTTTTGTAACTATTTTAGCCAAAAAAGTCCGACTTTTGACTTCCCAAACGAAGTCTAAATGAGTTGAACTCAAACACTTTATCATTCTTTAAATAGGTTTACATTTAATTCTAACTCAACTCAACATAATCAACTCAATTTCTTTTAATCTCATAAATAAACAAAACATTAATTTCAAGAAAATTTATAGGTTGATCTTATTGAACAGACTTATTTACCTATGGCCATGTTTGTTTGGGTGGACATGAGCTTGGGATTGGATTAATAGTCCAATAAAATTATTAATCCAATGTTTGGTTAAACAATTGAAGTACGGACTAATTATTTTAAACTTGACTATTAGTTAAGATAGGATTCATAATCCAATGGATTCGTAGTCCTAGGACTATTAATCATGAAAATGCTAATCCAGTCCGTCCAAACAAACATGGCCTATGAGTATTGCTCCCTTTATCATTATCAATACCCCTTAAAAATGTTGAGACAATAAACATTTGAAGACTTATTAATCCATCTGTCCGCTGATGTGCTATTTCCCCTACATTAATCCATCAAAAATGCTAGAGGCCCCAAAAATTCTACCAAAAGTTTTACCAAATGTCTCACATGGGTGTGGGACCCACATGGGACCCACATTGTGTGGGTCCCACACCCATGTGAGATATTTGGTAAAACTTTTGGTAGAATTTTTGGGGTCTCTAGCATTACTCTTAATCCATTGCATAGGACCTTAATTTTTTTTTATTTTTTTTTTATTTTGATTAGTTTAAGTTGGAGTTGGAGTTGGCAATGGAAGCCCAATTAGAAAGGCCCATGTGTGAAGAAGGGCTCAACCCAGTTCATCAGACCAAGCCCAAAGAAAGGGGCACAGAGAGGGAGAGAAGAGAGAAAACGAGAGAGAGACAGAGAGAGAGAGAGAGAGAAAGTGCCGTAATATATTTTGAGAAGGTTACAGTGGTAGAAGACGGTGGTGGCCGGCGGTGCGATCGGGAATGGAGTTGGAAGTGGACGAGACCGAGCTCAAAGCCGCCGGAGCTCAGCTTCTTCCGGAAGGACGCGTTGGACTCTTCATACATGGTTGGGAGATCGAGTCTCGCAAGCGTCCCATTCTCAACTCTCTCCACCTCCAACAGTACAATCTCCTCTCTCTCTCTCTCTCTCTCTCTATACATATATATATGTACATGTATATATGCAAGCAAAGATTGTTGCTTTTTTTTTTGTATTTCGATTTTTATTTTTGGTAAACTACCAATATGGGTTTAATTCCCATCAACTCTTATTTAGCCTTTATCCTTTCTATGATCGGGCTCAGACTTGTCCGTTCAAGGCAGACTACAAATCCTTTCATCGTGAACTACTAAATCGACTCCTCTTGTTGGCGAACAAATAGCCTTTTTGCTTTCTGGGACCGGGCTAATTCTTTGTCAAGCACCAATTCAGAGAAAGAGGGACACCCACCCTCTATTATTCTAAAGAGGGAGACCTTATATAGGAGACTTGGATTTAATTCCCATCAACTCTTATTTTCAACAAGTGATAGTAAAATCATGGTTAAAAATAATTTTTTGTGATAATTTTTGCACGTCACTAAAACTTGACAATTAGTGACTTTTTTATCATGATTTTTATAAATTGTCGCTAAAATTTACAATTCGTGACGTTTTTTTTATCATGATTTTTATAAATTGTCGCTAAAATTTACAATTCGTGACGTTTTTCTGTGATGAATTTTTCAAACTGTTGCTAAAAGTTAAAAATTAGCGATTTTTTTGTGATGATTTTTTTAAACTGTCTCTAAAACTTATAATTAAGGACATTTTTTGTGACAATTTTCAACTGTTGCTGAAAATTAACAATTAGTAACGTTTGTTAATAGTGTTTGATTAAAAACGTCATTAATTATCATAGGACCTATTGAACAATTAGTCCATAATAGGCCTACACGTAAATCACCTTCTCTTTTGTTTTGGGCGAAATACAATTACATGTCCATGAATCTGGAATCAATTGATCAGAAATTTATAGAGTACAATTTTGTTGATTTTAAGTGGAAATGTTGCTTTCGTAGCTTCTGTTAAACGCAGAGGATTACTTCGATTCAGAATAGCTAATAGAAGTAGCCAACAGTACTCCGATTTTTCTCTCTAGATAGAGCAAATTTTACTCGTGGTTTGTGAATTAAAACGAATACTTTCAAATGATGAGAGTTATGTGCATAAAGTGAAAGGGTTTAGTTTAGAGAGGAAGAAGACGAGGGTATTTATGTCAATTTACAAAGGCCGTTAACAGAAGTTAGAAGTGTAAAAAATCCACAAACATTAATGCTACAATGACCCCATTTATATATCACATTTGGTTTACCATCTCAATTGTCGTATTTGTATCCAATCCAACCAATACAAATACGACAATTGAGATGGTAAACCAAATGTGGTGTATAAATGCGGTCATTGTAGCATTACTGATCCACAAATTACAAGGGTTAACTGGTTATTTTGTAATAACAGGGTGTTATGTGCATATGACCTATACTATTGGGTAAAGTGAAATTTGCCCCTCTTTCTATTTGTTAAGTTGGTCTGTGGGGCATTATTTCATGCGGAGGTAATAATTGTTGAGGTGCTGTAGTAGTCTTTTGTTAATCGTGTTGTTGACTCTTTTTGTAAATAATCTAAGGTCCTAGATCAAGGAATAGGTTCTGGTTCTTGTCAAATGAAATTTTCTAACTGATGGATGCTGCATAATATTTTGGCATTTATTTGGTTCTATCTAAATTGATTTGGGTGCTTTGGATTGTTTTGGGTGTAATTTGGGCTATAATGAAATTCGCAATAAACAAATAAAAAATAGATATGGTTAGCTAGTCGTTAGTGAACTATTTTTAATGATTCTACAATTGTGCTTATCATTTGGAACCCGCTCATTGTATGATGACAGTCAGTTCCCTCATGAATGGTTTAATAACTAGATTTGTGTTCCATTAGTTTGACGAATTTAAGCATACATGACTCCTTTTTTTTATGTCATTTAAATTTTCCCGACTAATACTTACTATGCAATATGCCATTTGATACATAACTCCTTTTTTCTTTGTTTATTTGTCTTTTTAATTTTCATCTCTTTTATCAAACTCATGTGCTGTCCTATACATTGGAATTGTTAGAGTGCACTAAGGCCTTAGTTTGTTTACCATTTGAATTCTATATTTGCAGGTGGGAGCATAAGCTTCAAACATCCCACTTTCCAGAGATGGTTTTTGGGGACAGTTCTTTGGTTCTTAAACATGTCAGTAGTGGCATTAAGATTCATTTTAATACATTTGATGCTCTAACTGCCTGGAAGCAGGAAGCATTGCCACCAGTTGAAGTTCCTGCAGCTGCAAAATGGAAATTCAGAAGGTAAGCTGGGAACTGTTTATTCTTTCTTGTTGGCACCATATCATTCATTTAAGCAAGTTAGTCATATGTACAACGTGAATTTTGAAGTTCTGTTGAATAATACTGAATCCAACTCTTGAGGAAGAGAATTAGGTCCAGAAACTTTATTTCCTTTGGAAACAAATTCATTCATTTAGAACTTTCATGCGGGATGCAATTTAATTACTGAGTTAGAAGAGAATTATGTCAGGAAGATGAAAAAGCATTGGAAAGTTACGTCAATGGTGTACCCTGTTTGTTCCTTTTTAAGAATAATGATTCATGAAGCTTCAAGTGTAAGAGGGAAACATTTAAATGGTAGAGAAGAATCTACTTGTGGCATTAATCCCATTGATGTTGGTACCTAGCCTTGGTAGACTGCCTCAGTGATATAGGCATCCATCTTAACATGCTACAAGCCAAAAAAGAAGGCTAGTTAATATTGATTTGATCGTATACTTGTCCCTGAATAAGGTTGCTTATGTGAAAGTCACTTCCATATGAAGGATCCATCCACAATGCATACCAGCTTCACAATTGGTGGTTGTTTTATTATATACCATATGAACATTGAGTAATTTCTAAGCAATTAGGACACAGACTCCGTTGAAAGGAGGAACATGTAATTTTAGGTAGCTGCTTTATGGTCATCCTGTAGATATTCTTCAAGGAGAGATGTAAAAAGGTTTTGATACATGGGTCTCAGGTTTATGGAGATTATACTTGGCGATGACAAGGTAGTAACGTGGCATGCTAGATTTGGACACACGTATCCATAGTAAGCTTTACGAACCAATGATTGCTTTGCTCAATAGGGGATTGTCACCTTCATGTCTTCGCTTCAAACCTTACATGGAAGCAATTACTCAATCATGGAAATTATCTCTCTGCGCCCTTCTTTTTCTTTCACTCCCTTAAATTTTTATTTTATTTTTTTATTTTTTTTATTTTTTTTCCCATTTGATCTTTCTTGTAGCCTGCAGGCATCAAGACCTTAGTTAGTATGTCACCTCAGGGTGACACCAAGTCCCCTTTTATCCTGGATGCTTTGTAATGGTTCCCATTAGTTGTACTAATCTAGATCTCTAAAATGAGTGTCAATTTGAACGTTTCATCCTTACAATGTATTTATTAATGTTGATCTGCCTTTGTTGTACTGTTTAAATTAGTGTTCTAATGAGTAGTAACTGAGAAAATTTTCTCTCTCTTCTTTTTCCCCTGTCCCCTTCATAACAATCTGCAGAAAGAATGTTATCCTGACTCTTTTTCTTTTTAAACGTATGTAGCCAACCCTTCCAGCAATTGGATTATGACTATACCTTTACAACACCATATTGTGGAAGTCAAACGATTGAGATAAATGAAGAGGTGTGTGCTCTCTCTTTCTCAAATTTGTTGTGCCATTTGGGTGATTGGCTTATATTTCACTTTTATGTGTGATGACTATGAGTCATTGCATAACTACATTGTTTCATGGGGGTCCAGTTGCCATGTGCAATATCATGCCCCTTTCAGTAATGGAGTTAGTGAAAGGATGCTATTTATGCTTTTGACTGTGGCCTCTTATATTGCTGGTACTTAAATTGCATCGAATAATACTAGTATTGCTGTTATTTACATGGTCAGCTTGCGAGAGGAGCAACCTCTGAAGATAACAACTGTGGTCTTTATTGGGAGGACTGCAAAGAGCAAATTGATTTGGCTGCACTGGCATCGAAAGAGCCCATTCTCTTCTATGATGAGGTTGGCAAAACAGAAGATTACTAGAAGTGGATAGACATGCAAATCTGATATTCTCTTTCTTTGCCTGTTATATGTTTTGTCTGCCATGACTGAAGTTATCATTATACACCTCAACAGGTAATCTTGTATGAAGATGAATTGGCGGATAGTGGTGTTTCACTTTTAACTGTAAAAGTGGTAAATTCTCGACTCTCTCAGCTTTATGTAGCTAGAATGGATACAATAAGATTCCTTCACAAGGTTAGGATGTCTGAGGACTCATCATTTTTGTTATTTTGTAGAGGGTAATGCCAAACTCTTGGTTTCTTCTCTTGCGTTTTTGGGTGAGTTCATCTTTTTTACCTTATTAAGTTTCAACATAAAGCTTTGTACTTATTCTTTTTCTTTCTAAACTTTGGAATCCTGCTGTATTACAAAGGAGAATGTCTACATATCTAAAACCAATGGATGTTTTAGGAACTGAAAGAGAAATGATGTTTTTTTTTTACAGCTTAGAGTTGATGGGGTGCTTATGAGATTGAGGGACACACGTATGCATTGTGTTTTTGCAAATAGTGCAACCCCCATTATTCTTCGAGAAAGCTGTTGGAGGGAAGCCACATTTAAAGCTTTGTCTGCAGTAAGTTTACAATCTCTCTCTCATATATGTGTGCAAGTCTATGCTTGTGTTTGCATATGCAAAGGTCTTATTTTCTCCTTGTACAATTATGATAATTATGGCTTTCTTGTTGCCAGTTGCCACCCTCTTAGATAGTTTTTCTTGTCTAATTTTTGTTTTGGGGGAGCTGAAGTGATGTTTGTGTCACTTTTAGACCTGCAAACAAGCCGATCTTTGTAAGGCTCGAGCTGATGTTTGTGTCACTTTTAGACTTGCAAACAAGCTGATCTTTGTAAGGCTTGAGCTCAGCTCGTTTGTTTATTGAGCTTTAAAAGCCAGCTCAAGCTCGACTAGAAAATTAATCTAGCTCGGCTTGGTTCTTTAATACTAATCAAGCTGGAGGTTGACTCGAAGCTTGATAATGAAAAAAAGTTTGGCTATTAGAAGCATGGACACACACATCTAAGAAGTTAATGTGTCGTGCCTGGCACCAACACCACACGATGCTCGTTGGACACTTTCCAACACTAGGACACACATAGAAAACATTACAAGTTTGAATAAAATAACTTGGAATTCAATGATAAAACAAAAACAATATAAATTTATACATATTCTCATTCTTTAGACTTTAAAAATTATTTTCTTTACTTAATTCATTCATATATATGATATAATAATTATTTATTTTTTATATGACATACAATACATATATAATTATATATTTTGCATGTGTCTCTGCGTATCGTGTGTTACATTTTTTGAAAATTTCCATGCTGCCATTATCATGTCCGTGCTTCTTGGGTTTGGATATTATTTACATTTTTATATTACTTAATATATAAATAATAATTGAGCTGAGCTTATTCAAGCTTGAGCAATAAACGAGCCTAAAATCCTGGCTTGAGCTCATTTATTTACTTAATGGACTGAGCCGAGATTGCAAAGAGCTCTGTTCATTTGCAGCCCTGACTTTCTTACCTAATGGGGTTACCGTCCAAATTATATTTATGGTTTAGTTGAGGGTTCTGACAGTTTATAGTGACAACCCTCTTTCTTATTTTATATCTTATGGAGGAGGAACAGCATTGCCTATTCTGCTTGACATGGAAGGGTTTTAATTCTGTCTGTCCTCCACTTCTTTGAAATTATGGCATTTCATCCGCAGCTACTCTAACAAATCCATCTTAGGTGGCATTATGGTAGCCTGAATGAATTCTTGACAGAGTTTCTCATGTTTTTGTAGCGCAATAAACTCATATCAACTACTTGCCTTCTTACCTTTGAACTTCTAGCCTCTATAAAGTGCTGAGCCTCATGATTTTTTATGCCATATTGCTTTAAATTGTCATCCACATGTTTTGTTTGTTTTTTTTTTTTTTCGTTTCTCAATTACCAACTCATCTATTGATGGAAAATTGAGCAGCTTTGCTTTCTTTATCTTTTAAATGCTAATTTTTATCAGCTTAAATGCATTGACTTGTTTTATTAATTGATACAGAAAGGATACCCATCTGATTCTGCGGCATATAATGATCCAAGCATCATCAGCCAGAGGCTTCCTATCATCATGCATAAGTCCCAAAAGCTTAAAATCCCTGGTAACCTATAAGCTTGTAATTAATCGTTCAGATTACTGTGACACAAAACTGTACTGAATCTCGTGCAAAAGACGCAAATCAGTCCCATTTAACAGTTATAATCTCCTTTGTGGTAAACACATCCATGTCTACACTCTCATTTTCATCATCTGTGTTTGATTGGTGAGCTATTCTATTGAATAACATTTAGAGAATTGAAGAACAATTTTATGCTGCTTTAACACATTTTAGTACATATGGGCATGTTTGTGTGATTGTTGCTAGAATGAAGGTGTGGAAGCAGAAGCAAGGGCTGGGAGCCTTGAAGGTTTCAGACAAATGGGCTGTGGCTAGGGTGCAATAGATAAGGAAATGAGAAAAACAAAGCGGGCACATTGGCAGTGTTTGTAATAATTATCTGGGACCTTACTTATCAAAACTAAATAAATAAATATAGAAACTAGAAAGAATTATGAATTTGTAATTTGGACAAATAAAGACATAGCATATATTTACCTTTACGTATGGTAACATCATATAAAGATTAAACATGGCAGGGTCAACTCACATTTTATTCTTAAAATCTTAACTTTTGTAGGAATTATGTCTTGCAAAACTCAACACTGGATTTCATGCTCCTTAAGTGACCTTCGAGCTTGCTGAATTTCAGATCAATCAGAAATTAAGAGCTATCTCTTCTATAATTGCATTCTAGAGAAGGATATGATCATGTCGATGAGAAAGCTCTTGATGTCCAATTGACGTTCAATCTTAGCTTGAAAGTTATTTTGAGGAGCATGAAGACCAACAGTTGCTACAAGAAGTTTTGAATTGGTGTGAGAATAAAGTTTGTTACACCAGGGTTAAATGGGTCCGGCCCCTAGTTAAATTGTGATATTATTAATCATATTTGGGGAATTTTATCTTGTGGATGGTGAGAGTAAACTGCAGTCATATAACTGTAGTGGAATGGATGAAGTGGAGAATCTTTTTGGAGCGATGTGTGACGTTTGTTACATGAGGGGAAAACTTTATTGTGCCTCCGTTTGGGAAGTGGGTTAGCTTTTTGACTTTTTGGCTTTTTTTGGCTATTTTAGCCTGGGCTAAAAAGCTTGGTTTGGGAAGGGCTTTTTAGCTTTTTTGACTTTTTTTGTGAGAGAAGAAAGTAATGATTATAGGTTGGATGTGATGTTTTGTTTGTTATGACTAAAATAGTCTATTTTGTTTTTTGTGGCTAAAATAGCCAAAAAAAGCCTGAAAAAGTCCTTGCCAAACACAGGCACATGTATCACTATTAGGCTAAAATTCTTTATGGTACATGAAGCTTGGCAATGAATTCAAGCATTTTAGAAGCTGGGCCAGGGTTACTGAAGAAACAGTAATACCCTAGGGAGCTTAATTCTTGAACACGTGTTTTGGAACATGGTACAGCTTTCTTCCAATAAATTATGCAGCGATCCAAAAAAATAATTCTATTTCTTTCCTGAATTTTGTTCCTTTTTTAGAAAACATATATTAAAAAGATTGAATTTTGTGGGAAAAGATTGAGGAGAAAAGCTATAGCACATCAAACACTGAAGTAAACTGGAAAAGTCAATGTAGAAACTGCAACTGGGATCTTTGGAAGCTAGAGTACTTTACATGATCCTTACAATATTGTCTCACATGAAGAAATGTGTTTTAAAAAAGTGTTGTAGTTGCTCCTTTTAGAAGTCATTAGCAGCCTATTGTCTGAAACTTATCATATATGTTTGAAACAATTTGGAGTTTTTGGGTATTGTAATGCATCCTTATCAGCATTTCTCAATAACCCTCCGTCTGCTACTAAACTAACACATAAATGCTTTTTTCTTCTTTAGCAATATGTGGTCTCCTCAAATTAGTAGATGATGCTATCTCTTAAGCTTTTGCCTCATTCTCCGAGGTATTATTACTCTAATTGCTAGCTAAATTATTGATAAAGTACAACAGGAATGAAAATTGAAGGTCATTGTAAGGATCAAGAACCTTTGAATCTGGTGACAGGTATATTATAGTGCACCGGGATTACTTTAAGAAACTACAGATGAAAATAACTGGTTGTTAGAATGCATTTGCAGGAAAACATTAAATTCTTCATTGCCGCTTCTAGTCTTATTTGGAAGAACCACCTTCTAAGATCTTGACTCTTCGAAGTTGTGCTCTTAACTCTTCCTAAGTTAATTGATGTTGTTGATGGAAGCATAAATCAAAAACTGTTGAAGATGGATGAACATATTAGAGCCGGAGATTCAAATCAAGCTTGAGGTTGTCCAATGGCTGCTCTGGTAGTAGCTGTGGATCCAAATGAAAGCTTCCAGGCCACATCAAGTTCATTTCTTCCTCCATTGTGCGTGGCTCCCATGGACTCACAAACCCGGTATGAGTCTCATTAAACCTTCCCACGATTGTTGTTCCTGTGCCTCTACTTGGTTTGTGCACCAGTGAGTGAGGCCGGACACCAAGTGATCGGGCCATATGAGCATTGGCCGGGAAACCCATCATTGTCATCATGGTCTGACTCTGATGTGCCACAAAATTGGCCCCACCATTATTTGCCTGATAGATAGACGGCTGGAAGCCCTTAACAACACCAGCACCACATATGGCACCAAGGCACTGCATCACTATGTAGAAAACAGCCCTTGTTAGGGACAGCTTCCTTGCCAGAAACAATCCAAAGGTCACTGCTGGGTTAATATGTCCTCCTGAGATTCACAACAAGTTTTGATCAGACTAAGTCTGTGCAGCATAGGCCAAAGTAATTAGCAAAACAATAAAACTTAAATTTTTTGAGGTAAAAGCTAATCATCATAAGCGAAGTTAAAAGCACATCTCTGCCCATTTTTCAATGATCAATTTATTTCTACCCATCCAATTGTAGACCAAGAAAATATACTTTTTCCGTGTCTAATTTCTCATCAACCAAACAGAAAAGTGGAATAATTTCCTTTCAATTTCAATTAACTCCAAACAGCAAAAGAAATTCCTTGGAAATCCATTCCTTTCCTTTGGCAGTTTAAGATCTGAATTATAAAAGGATTTGGTTCCAAACACGCTGAATCTCCCAAATATGCTTCAACCAACACACACACACACACACACACACAGATCCACTGACAAGACTAACAAATACCCATAAATTTTTTTCCCAAAAATGAAAACTCAGTGAAGAAAAACAAAAACTTGACAAAAACCCATAAAATTCAACCAACAAATTAGAAGAAATCAGAGAAAGTTGTTGCTAACCTGAGATACCAGCAGTGCAGTAGACAAGGGCAAAGATCATACCACCAAAAGCCCAAGCAATCCCTTGAATACCCACAGAGGCACACTTGGTAGGTGCCCTAACAACACCCATGACAGTCAAAAGAGTGATGTATAAGAAGAGGAAAGTGGCCATGAACTCTGCAATCCCAGCCCTGTAAAAGGACCATGATTTCAACTCCCCTGGCTCAAACAAGGGAGCTGGTGGTGGCTCCTTGTAGTCCTTGTCTGTCTGAGCTGCTGTGCCTATTGGTTGTCTCTCTGTGAACTTGTTAGCTCCAAGCTTCACATCCTCTTCCTTACCCTCCATTGTTGCTCTGTTTTTTTCTCTCTAGAACTCTGTTTTTCTCTCCCTTTAGAGACTGAACTAAACAGTAGTAGAAAGAAAAGCTCGAGAAGGTGGTGTGAGTGAGGATAGGGTTTGGGTTGTTTTTTATAGAGGTGGGGAGTGATTTTTAAGAGCAATCTAAAAACCTAAATATTCTATTAAAAATTTTATCAAAGGATAATATTAGGGTGATCAAATTTTTTACCAAACAAATAATTAAATGTCTCACATGGGTGTAGGGTCCGCAATTTTGTGAGCCCTACACTCATGTGACACATTTAGTCATTTATTTGATAAAAAATTTAGAACCTCTAGCATTTTCCTTTATCAAATGTTTTATATGAATGTAGGACTCACATAATGTGGATCCTATGTGAATTCTACATCTATATGAGATATTTGATAAATTTTTTAAGACCTCTAACATTTTTGAATTTTTAATTGAAGTTATTTGTTGAGACCTGTACTGAAGAAGAGGAGAGAGTGTTCTGGAAAGAGCAAAGAAAAATGCTTGGGAGCACTAATTAGTGCTCCCACTAATTAGGTGGCAGTGGGTCCCGTCATTAATGATGTGATGTTTTGGTCTTGAAGTTGTATAGTCGCCAAAAGTAAGGATTTTAGTCGCCGAAGCCTTTTCCCGACTAAATATTCTGGTTGCTAGATTTGTCGCGGGAAAACGGTCGGGGAAGGTTTTGGTGACTAAAAAAAATTTAGTCGCCAAAAGTCCTATAAATGGCTACTAATGTTTTAGTAGGGAAAAGTACGAGGAATTGGCAACTAAATATTTTTTAGTAGCCAAAAGTCATAAATTGGCGACTAAATATTTAGTCGCCAAAAGTTTTCAAATAAAATTAATTTTCATTTTCAGCGACTAAAACTTTTAGTCGCCCAAAGTATCATTTATTATTAGCTACTAAATATTTAGTCGCCAAAAAAAAAAATTAATTTTCATATTTTTTTTTAGCTACTAAACTATTTAGTCGCCTAAAGTCTCATATATTTTTGACTACTAAATTTTTAGTCAACAAAAAATCTTTGGTTTGTTTTTGGCTACTAAATTTTTAGTAGCCAACAAGTTTTATTTATTTTTTTGGCTACTAAACGTTTAGTCACCAAAAACTTTATTTAGTGTTATTTTTTTATTTTTATTATTATTAATTTCTGCACAATCTGTATTTATTTCGTGTAACCTACACCCTGTATATAAACAAAACAATGCATATGTCTATTTCTATTTCACTTTCAACCATCCAAAAATTTGGTCTTGTAACATCAAATTCTATACAAACCAGATATAATTCAACCCAAAATAATAATTCCATACAAACAGATAATCATACAAAAATGATGTCCTTCGTATATAAAAAATAAATATCCTCTAGTAATCTATACCACCAGAAAATAACTTCATCTCTATTGAATCAACAATTGTTGCAGTAATTGGTAGTGGAAAAGTTCGAGTTTGTAAAAGTCTTCCAGTAACAAGGTTTCATACCTACAATACGAAAATAAGGCCTTGTTTGGGGAGTGGCTATTTTAGCCAAAAAGCCAACTAAAACTAGTCACATCACCTCTCTACTTTTCTGCACATCTTTTTGTAAAAAGCTAAAAAATTACTAAAATAGCATGTTCCCAAACGAGGCCTAAGTCATTAGATAATTCACCCATCGAAGTCTACAACTTTTCCCAGACCTTAACAAACCTGAAAAATGAGAAAAAGAAAGAAAGGACGTGTTAAGTGTAAGACAAACAAATGCACCAAGCAAATGAAACAAAAAATTTGGACGAAGGGTTTCAGTCGTGGTTTTTTAAATCATTAATCGTACCAAACAGTTTTTTAGCAATTGAATAAACGATATTATGAATTAACTATGAACTCATAGGTATCAGAAATGTCTAATAGGCATTTAATTTTCATTCTAACTCGTATATCAAAAGTATTAGTAATGAAAGAATAAAAATTCAATAAAATTCTGTTCACTATTTGGCCACTTTCATGCCCATCCAATAATAGGAGATGCAACATGTTTCTAATTTCAAGAAAAATCGAGATAAAGTGACGACATGGCCACATGCTTTTAGACAATATGCGGCATCACGTTGGAATTTGCCATCCCACCATTGGTACTGTTTGATGTAGATGATAGAGCTATTTATCATTTTATTTTCTTTTTTTCATTTCTAAAAATTTGTATCAAGAGTGTTTTGTATAGTTTTTGTTTACAATTTATAAAGCAGAAATATCGGTGGGCAAAAAATTCAATTTAACAAGTGGCAAAATCCTAAACCCTAAACCAATGATCAATTGTTTCCTGAAATCAACTTTTGATAGGAAAACCCTCCAGATTCATGGCACTTAAAAGTGTCTAACCAGTGTAACATATCAAAGATGCAATCGCAAGACGGATTCCATGTTCCTTGGGCGGGCACCCCCTACTTTTAGTGGATTGCACAAATTCTACGTGGTTTGTATCTACTGAAATTCTTTGCTGACGTAGAGTTATTATGAATCAATATAAATGTCCAAACAGTGTAAAACTCTTGGCTGCATGGTAACTCGAATCCCTAGATACAAATTTATTTTCTCAAATTTCTCCATAAATGAAACATAGAATAGATTTCTAAAAGTGCCAAAGCACATGTTCAAATCACACTTGATAAATGACATATGCATAATGTCACTAGTCAAAACAAATTGCATGAAATATGAGCTTAACCTCTTCCCACGATTTCCCAGTAGCTTCAAGCAAAGCAGCATTGCAAGTCTTCAGCTCTATGGAGGTGCCTGAGAACATTGAGGTTGCCTCCTCCCATCCTCTGTTATGTCCCATACACCTGTACATTTAACTTTCTGTCAAAATTCTTAATGAACTTTTTTATATATTCTTATATAAATTATGTGAGAAAAAAAAACTAACAAGACAGAGATAAGAAAAAACAAAGGAAAAAACAAGTGAGAATAAGTGTCTACACCTGTATAGTCCTACTTGCTTCCTGCACAAGTACATTCTAAAACTAAATAAATTAGATTGTTATTGAAAAGACATCTATTGTCAAGACATGGCAAGGCTCATCAGAGGTCCCATGGAGATGATAGTTTCTATTGAAAAAAATGAAACCATATATGGAAATGTTAATTTAAATAAAAATTTAAAATCACAGCTAAGTAGACTAATTACAAAAACTATACAAGTTTAGTAAATTCATTTGACATACTATGTAAAACACACCAAGAGTTTTTTTTCCATTAGCCATCAAGATGCACCCTTAATACACACAAATACCTCACCTATTAAATGGAACTCCAAACAAGCTGTTACAGTCAGCAGAACTCACATAACTGTAAGTATCTCGTCCCTTGAAAATTTACAGATGGCATGTTGAAGGTGCTCAGCTGTCTGTCCTTTCATTGCTGCAATTGAATAAAAACTTGAAATGAAATGTACCTCAGCTTCCAAAAATCCTCGCACTTGTTCTTGCATAGTTTTAAGTGTTTCCTTTGTTCGCACTGCATCACTACACCAAGACACCAGTAGAGAATTTTCGATCCAATGATGAACTATTCACTCATTGTACACAAGTCAATCTAACCTTATGGGGTCATCAGTACTGTGCAAGTATTTCTAGAGAATCCTAACCTGGACAAAATAAGCTCAGGAATCCAACCCAACTGCTGGAGCTTGTGTGAAACTTCAATAGCATCAGCTTGTCCCGCTTTACTCAAAGGGCGATCATGATCTTTGCAAGATAAAGAAGGAAGCAGGTATCAAGAAGCCTGACATGATTTTGGTTATCAAAACAATAAAAAGAAAAATGCATGAAATGAGTTTACCTCTAAGCATTTTTGCTCACCTTTTTATTTTATTTTTATTTTAATTTATTTTGAAGTAGTTAAAGTGTTACGAGGTGTCTTTGCAATGAAGTGTAACGATTAATTAGACAAAAAAACAACAACAGGAGTGCTCATTTACAAATATCAGTAGTTGTGTCTCAGTTGCCACCAGTGCAAGTGAAACTGTCTAATAAACAAATGTCCATTTGGAATACAAGAACACAGAGGATTTCAAAATCCAAGTCATATCACGCTTTTCATCCTTTTCATATCATATCATGGAATCCATCTTGTGATTGCATCTTTGATATGTTACACTGGTTAGACACTTTTAAGTGCCATGAATCTGGAGGGTTTTCCTATCAAAAATTGATTTCAGGAAAACCAATTTTCATTTCTAAAAATTCAAACGCTTGGTGACCATGTTCCAATTGTTTCTGATAAATTTGTCACTTGAGCATACTCAAGTCAAACACTTGGTGGGCAAAAAATTTAACAATCCATATCAAACAAACAATCACCTAAATCAATGATCCAAATTCAGAGTTTATCATCACTACCCATTTCAGAGTTTGTCCACACAATCCACATATCAAACACATTCAATACACAATAAAAACACACAGAGAAAGTTAAAAATCGAAATGGGTACTCACTAGAACAGCCTTATGGGCAGAGACGGGAATGGGTTTAGACACGGGTTTACCGGAATCATCATCGGAAGCGACTACAACGATGTCGGAGAAGCAAGGAGTAGAGCGATGGTGGTAATCATCGAAGGGAGTCCAAAATCTGAGGAAGGAGACTTTGGAGTTGAGATCTTCGATCTTGGCTCGGAGTTGTTCTGGATCTTGGCTCCGAATCGGTGTTCACGAACTCATCATGGATCTCAGGTGACGGTGACCAAAAGGAGTAGGAATCGATGCTCAGGTTCCCAGTGACCGCGAGGGAATGGAGAGGAGCACCGGAGAGACAGAGAGACGCTGAAGAGAGAGACAGACAGAGGCGCTGGTAAAATTTTGGAAATCAAATATATATATATATATATTACACCATTAGCGACTAAATGTTTTAGTCGCCAATTACTTTTATAAATCCCTCAAATTTAAATTTGAAATGTCTCCCTCTAATTTTTTATTTTTTGGCTACTAAACTAATTTTTGGTCGTTGAAAATATGTTTTGGCGACTAAACTTTTGGTCACGAAAGATGGTTTTTTTTTTTTTTAATTTTACATTTGGTGACTAAATATTTAGTAGCCAATACCTAATATACGGCGACTAAACTAATTTTTGATCACTGAAAATATGTTTTGGCGACTAAACTTTTGGTCGTCAAAGATAAAAAATAAATTTTTAATTTTACATTCGGCGACTAAATATTTTAGTAGTCAAACTCAATATACGGCAACTAAAATTTTTTTTGTCACCAAGTCTAGTATTTTTAGCAATTAAATTATTTTTTAGTCACCAATAATCAATATATCCCGACTAAAAAAATTTAGTAGCTAAATATTATACTTTTGGAGACCAAAAAAAAGTTTTAGTCTCCAATTCCAAAACTTTTGGTGACTAAGGGTTGGTTTGGAAAGTGAGTTGGCTTTTTGGCTTTTTTGGCTATTTTAGCCTGGGCTAAAAAACTTGGTTTGGGAAGGGCTTTTTGACTTTTGGCTTTTTTGACTTTTTTTGTAAGAGTAGAGTATAATGATTATGGGTTGGATGTGATGTTTTGTTGGTTGTGATTAAAATAACATATTTTGTCTTTTGTGACTAAAATAACCAAAAAAGCCTACAAACCTTCTTTCCAAACTTCACCTAAATTTGTTTTAGTCGCAAATTTTAATTGCCAAAGATGTATTTTGTTGTAGTGTGTTAAGTAGGCATGAAATATAAGTAATTTTACAATGAGCATCTATTTCAACGATCTTATTTTACTGTTTAATGCGTGAGTTTAGTTGTCGGCATTGCATTAGAGGTATACATAGTAGTGAGACCTATTACATTATTTTTGAAAAATAGAAATATTTTTATATTGTGTCTTTGATATATATATATATATATATATATATAGAGAGAGAGAGAGAGAGAGAGAGAGTTGTGGAGAGTGGTGAGGTTGTCAATAATGGGTGAATAAAGTAGGAAACAAGATAAGTAGTCAAGGAACAAGAGTATCTAGATGGGTTTGTCTTCATGTTGGGACTTCCTCAGCATTCCTTTCAGAGATATGGTGGGTTTTGCATATGTGCAGTACAAGTCCATTAAGAGCCCCACTTGTATTGTACTTGCTCTCAGTCTTTTTTGTTAAAAAATAAACGGCGCTGCTTGAGGGTCCGAATTTCGGGTCGAATGCCCCGAAATTTCCACTTTAGGTAAAAAAAAAAAAAAAAAGGAAAAACGAAAGAAAAAAAGAAAACAGTTTCTAAAAATAGAAATTAGGGGCATTAGGGGCAAATTTTTTAGGGCCACCAATCATTTTCCAAAAATAAAAAAAAAACAAAAAAAAAACGTAGATGACTATCTGAATCAGCACCCCCATAAAAGGGTCCTTTTTTGTCTTTTTCTTTTTTTTAAGCCCAGGCTAAAATAGTCAAAAAACCAACTCACTTTCCAAACGGAGGCATTTGCATATGTACAGTACAAGTCCATTAAGAGCCCCACTTGTATTGTACTTGCTCTCAGTCTTTTTTGTTAAAAAATAAAAAATAAAAAAACAAAAAAAAAACGTAGATGACAATCTGAATCAGCACCCCCATAAAAGGGTCATTTTTTCTCTTTTTTTTATTTTATTTTATTTTATTTTTATTTGCGAAATTGCAAAATGTTTTAGGAGGACTTGTTTGAAAGATCTCTCTGTTACGTGTACAAGCATGCACTCAGGCACGTGACATAAAAACATAATTCAATATACTCTCTTTGATAACGTTTACGTTTTTAATTTATATTTATAAAAATTTATAAATTGATTTTTGTTTATTTTAAAAAAATCATAAACTACAAACGCATTTGGTAATTGACAAAATATTTAAAAAAATTTAAAAATATAAAAAAGAATGAGAAATAGCAAATGGTCCATAGATTGCCTTTGATGTCTTAGACAACGATCGTCCAGTGGAAGTCGTGGTACATTGGGAAGATGAGATATCTCTCACCTTCATAGTCATTCACATATATATCAATTAGTATATTTATTTTGTAGTGATGGGTACTCTTGTGTTACTTTCTACACAAATTGTGTAGACACCCCATTTTAACCGGTCCTAAGACTTGGGCGCTTTCTTTTGATTACCTGATGATGACAATCAAAATGTGTTTCTCACAGAATCCTCAATAAGAGAGATAAAATTTGACCTTTAATCCTAACCTTCACACATTTTTGGCCAAATTATTTTTCATCCAAAATTCACCAATCTCCACTACCAAAAGAATATTGGCTCTTCAATTTCCATTACCAAATTTTCTACACATCAATCCCCACTCACCATCTACTTTCATAATCACACCACATCAATCGGCACTCACAATTCACTTTCATAATCACACCCCACCATCCCTAGTCATCACCCATTTTCCTAATCATATCTCACCATCCCCAACCACCATCTACTTTCCTAATCACACACCACCATCACCACTCATCATCTACCTCCATTATAAATTGTCTCTCATTAGCTCCGTTAGTTCCCCATTATATCCATTATCTTCTCTAAATCTTCCACTTTGTCCTCCACTTTTCTGAAAAGTCATATAAACTTGTATTGCCTATTTAATGAGAATTCTTGTCTTGAGTTTTAAGAGATAAATTAGAGGAGAAGTGTAGAGAGAATACTAAATTTGAGTTAGAATTTGAGAAAAAAAAAAAACCTTGAAAACAGCATTGGATACCATTTGAACAAAGTAGATAAGTTAGAGGATCAAATAGGACAGCTGGCTGTTAAAATTGCAATTTTTTTTCATGATTATTTAAAGGAGAAGCGAGATTGTAATGGTCAAGCTTTCGCAAACCTATATTTCATTGAGCCCATTCACTTTCCTATCTTTTGAGAGAGTACCAATCTATTCTGTTATGGAAAATTACATCCTCATATTCTGAAATTACTGAATAATTATTCATAATGGAGGAAGGCATAAATATTCTTGGAGTAACACGTATTTGTACTTCCTAACCAATTATTATTCAATATGTTTTCTCATGTTCCTTAATCATCCAACAGAATACCCCACCTTCTCCACCAATTATAATATTATGAAATACCACATGTCCATTTTCAAAATTACTGAATAATTACCCATCTTTTATAAAGTTAGCATACATCTCCAGTTATTCTTTTGTAGTTTCTGTTTCCTTTCGTTAATTTAGCGTGGTCCTTTCTTTTTTGCTTCATGGAAAGTGATGTGCATAAGCCTTTTTAGAGCTAGAGATTGACTTTTTATCAGAAATAAAAATCACGCATAATGTACATATTGAGAATTTAATTTTAATTTGGACAAATAAAAATATACCAACCCAACATCACAATACAACGAGAAAGATATTAATAATTTTTTTATTATTATTTTCAAGCTTCATTCTTACTATTTGGTTTAATTTTTTATAACTATTTTCAAATTTTTTGTTTCTAGTTCTTTTTTTTTTCTTTTTTTTCCTTTAGTAATTTTTTTCCCCCATATTTTAGTCACATTTTTTTTACTTTTTAAATTCACTTAATAATACACCTAAAAGATAAAATATTTGTGAAGAAATATGAAAAAATTCGCTAATAAACATTACGAAAATATATTGAAATAACTCAGTTTTCATTATTCAATTTTCATATTTACTCACAGTTCTTAGTTTTATCAATCTTTCTACAAGTAGATCTCACATCACCAAAATAAATCCCCATACAAATTTATACTTTGATTTCAATAAACTAATTACTTGTTTACTACAAATTAAATAATTGAACTTATTACTCTTCTTGATTGAATTTTGATTTATAGGAAAGAAAATGTTGAACTGAAATAACTCACTCACAAAGCTTTACCTAAATTTTGCTCCGCTTCTCTATAATTTCTCTCTATCAATTATAATTTCTCTATAATTTTCGTTGAATTTTGAGCCTATTTTCATAATTTCCAAAGAAAATCTAATCAATTATATTACAAGAAAGTTATACAATCCAATCCAAGTTTACTGGCAATGTTAGCAGGACTAAGAAAACAATGCTCATCCTAGAATCAATCTGATTGAGAATTCCAGCAAAAAACTCCTTCCAACAGAGAGTCCGTCTTCACGCATTTCAACTGTTTATTAAACGTGTAAGCTTTGCCAGATGAAATATTCACCGCAACTGTAATTTCTCTGTAATGTAATCTTTCAATGGAGTTCTGAGTTTTAGACCAAATACCGACTTCATGAAGATATCCTTCGTTCCAGCAGATGTCAACTGTCACGCCACCGCGTGCCTTCAATCCTTTGACACAACCATATGCCCATTTATCGCGAGGGAGCGCAGGTAGTAAGTAGAGGTCCTTCATGGTGCTCTGCACGAGCATTTCTGCTACCGCTGCAGTAAATCTGTCACCAGCAAATACAAATTTAGCAGCTTGATTAATCAGTAACATTATGTAGATGCCCACTTTGGAGCAATGTCAAAAAGTTTGAAAGGATATACCAATTTTTTACCAAACCCGTTATTACAAAACTTCTATTCCTGATGCAAGTTGTTTTGAACTTATTTTCCAAATTAAGATTTTCTTTTGGAAGTTATGTTTTGAAAACTTTGCTTCAGGCTTGAAGTTGAAGTCTTATTTTCCAAATACAACTGCACAAAACAATTTGAGTTCCGAAAATAAGTTTGAAAATTATTGGGTTTGAGAAATTTGTTTTAAAATGCATGGATTTGAAAAAATAAAAAATAAAAATCACATATACAAATAGTCAACTGGGTGGCCATAAAGCTGCACCATACAAGGAGATCAAGGGTTTGAGTCTTGCCACATACACGACTTCCTCCTCCCCAAGCTATGGGCTCCAATGTATTAAAAAAACAACCTTTCAACTTGAGAATTTGAAATAAGACTTAAGGGTTGGTCTAATAAATAAGGCGCTCCCTTACCTAGTGTGAAACCTGGGTTCAAATCTAACTGCCACGAATGCAGATTCCCTTTCCCTATTTCCCTCCTACCGATTGTATTAAAAAGGCTTGGGAATTGAAAATGAGAGAGAGGTTCCTTTATAGTTTTTTTTCCCCCCTTTTACAAGTTCAATAAACATGAATTCTTTCAGTGATTAAAGCCCAATAGAATTTGACAATTTGCAAAAAATCAAAATATACTTAATCTAGAAATTTACTGATTTAAAACAGAACAGAATTCTGGAAGAAACTGCATATTCTAAAATGTGTTCAACAATCTATAAAAAATAACAAAATAAATTTGACAATGATGTGATGCAAAACACTTTCAAACACATAATATGAAATGTATGTCTGAGAAAGGCATGCAGACACAACCAGGTGTGCTAGAATTTAAATATTTAACGATGGCAAGTCAGCAGGTGGAATTGGAATTGGTGCATATAGATTGACACATTCAACGAATACTGCTTACCCAAAGTTGGCATCAATTTGGAAAGGTGGATGTGCAGTGAAAAGATTACTGTAAAGTCCGCCTTCAAAACCGATTTTAGGATCAGGATCCGCCAATTTGAATAAATGCTTGACCATCCTATATGCGTGCTCATTGTTGTGAAGGCGTGCCCATATAGCAGTTTTCCAAGCTGTTGACCATCCTGGACCATCCTCCCCTGTTTCCAGAGAAGAAAATTTTGAACCACAGTGTGTACCAATTGCTGGATATCATTCTTGATAAAGATGTAAATAGGACCGATGTAGAAGAACTGGAAGTTGAACCAGCAAGCATGACACACACATAACTTATGACGTGGTGTTGAATGATGATGACAATAGATGACTGAGTGCGCCAGGGGGCAGCTTTGATGGTGTGGCAAGGGAGACGACTAAGGGAGTTGCTTGCATGGTTCGCATGGTGTATAACCATGCTCATGATATAGGTATAATAGGAATTATAAGAAAGAAATTCAGTTGACAAAATGAAGTTGAAGAAAGAGAAAAACATGACTGCAAGATAGTAGTCACCAATTGCCAGAAAATAGTGATCTTCCTTAACGCTCCGTTTGTTTCGACAGAAACGGAAAATATTTCCATTAAAAATGCTTTCTTATGTTTAGTTGCAACCTTGAAACTAATGCTCTAGTGGTTGTCTTATGTTGATACAAATGCCGCTGAAACAAACAGAGCGTTAGAGTCCAACAAAATTCCCTGGCTAGGTTCCAAGTGCGAGCAATCCCTGAACCAACGCAAGCACATACAGCTTTAACAATTTTATTTCATTTTTTAACTAGTTGCATCCATGCAAAGATCTTTTCAATTAAGGAAGTGACATCATTTGAACTCTTTTTAATCATAATTTCTGCTAACCCTTTTCTTCCTATGCATATTTTACATACAAACCTCTTTTGTGGAGAGTATATGCCGCAGCTTTACATAAGTCAGGAGTTTTCTCAGGAGTAATTGTGTGCCCTGGAAACAACCCAAATAGGTGTGATAGATGCCGATGATGCACGTCTGGGTCCTCAAAATCTTCGGCCTACCATGACACAGACAAATAGGTTTCTTTTTTCTCAGCTTAGAATAAAATCCCAACAAATTTTGTTATTTTACCAGAAGTGCAAAATATTGGAAATGTGAATTCAAGTTTTTTCACATACCCATTCCATGATGGATCCATCCATAGCAATTTTTGTTGGATAAAGCCGAGGTTGAGCTTTACGAACTCTTTCTATCAGATCATCCTCACTTTTACCCAAGACCTGTTCACAAATCTTTTTGTAAAGAGAGAAAACAAAGGTTATTTATTTTTATTTTTTTGACGAGTGAAAATAGGAGAATTACCTCAGCAGCACTAACAACTGCAGAGAAAACTTCTCTAATGATTGACATATCCATGGTTGATGAGTAGCTCACACTAGCAATCCTGCCATCAGGGGCAATAAAATTGTGTTCTGGAGAGGTTGATGGGTTGGTTTCAAGGTATCTTCCTCGGCCTTCGATCAACCAATCCAAAAGAAATGAAGTACATCCTTCTAGCAAGGGATATGCCTTATTTTCTAGAAAAACCTAATTATATCAAACGATTAGCTGCAATTTTGTCTACCAGAAAGTTTTAAATATTACGAGAAAAACTAAATACAATACTCTATTGTGAGGTCGTAATGCATGTGCATACAAGGATAATAAAGATGAACTAGTCAATTCCCATAAACAAAAGGACATTATTGAAGAATCTATTCAAAACGTATATTTCATCTCTACTTGGATGCTTTAGCTAAATACTTAAGTTTGAATCACAAGGTTATAGATAGCCAATAGTACAACAAATTTTAACAGCCTCTACATGTAATGTGCTACTTCCAATCACTTGGGGTTTTGCTCATATGAATCTTTTTCTTACAAGTAGATCCTTCACTTTGGTTACCCTTGTCTTCTTGTAGATGGTATTTTAAATATAATTTCCATCCTGATTTTAACTATAACTAGATAAGATGACCTTACCATATATCCAAGCAACCAACATTTTATACACACTTTTTTTTTTTTTTTTTTCTAGAAAGGTATGATACACAACCTATAAGAATTAAATTTGAGATAAATTTTTATATGAAAATATTTTTTATTTGGAATGACTTGAAATGCAAGATTTTTCAAACGTTTCAAAATGAGTATAAAAATGACTTGAAATATGAGATTATTTAAACATTTCAAAAAGAGTACAAAAACTCGTTAGTAAGATATGGAGATGATTTTGCCCATATATCGGACACATGATGTACCACCCAACCACTTGCTTCGTAGTTCACCTGTAACATTCAACTAAAAATAGTGTTTTCATAGAGAATATGTATAAAAACAACTTATCACGGAAAACAATAGATCATAGAGTTCATCCTGGGCTTGGACCACTAGAAAATACCACACCGTTTTCCAGCCTTGTGATTCTTTTTACTTGTAGGGCATGCATGTCAAACACAAGAATAGCAAGGATCACATCATACTGATCACTTGTTGACAAATTAGCATCTCCATGGGGCCATCTACCAAATATGATGTAGAATTTCATATGAATGCATTTTTTATGCTTCCTTGTTGACTACTGTTTCAAAAAAACTTACTACCTTCAAATGATGACTTGTAGGCTTGCAGCATCTCTAAATTTGGAAGAAGCATGAGTATGTGTATACACATATTCCTATATATGTTAAGATAAGATGACTATAATGAGTAGTTCATGACTACAAATGGTACATTCGGTAAAAGAAATTCTTACTTGGGCAGTTTTAGTCCCATTGATTGACAGAAATGAAATGTGATCAAACAGAGGCTCCTGGCACTCATGAAGGTTGCAAGGGAGAGACGGCCAGTAGTTCATTTCAAGATTAATATTCAAGTGAGGAGCACACCTGAGAGAAAACAGCATTCATGTAAGTAACTGTCCGTATAAGAGGATATGAATATATAAGAAAAATGAAAAATCGTAAATAATTTTGTCAATACGCTGTTATCAACAAGAAAGCTGTTTAGTCGTATTACATATAATGATGAATACAAAATGAAGTAAAAAGGTAAAAGGCAATATTGCTCCTTTTATGGTTTACTATCTTCAACGTCTCTCCCATCTCCCTTTTAAAACCCTCTTATGCAAACAAACTTGTCATTGAAGAGGAAAAAGGGAAAAAAATACAAAATAGAAAAATAATAGTACATATGCACTTTCATTTGGGTGAAAGTTCAGAAGGAGAAAAAAATTCCAGCCACTCTACGAACTTTAAAGTAAAAAAGAAATTCCTTTCATTAGGTGCACTTAAAAATTTTAAAATCACCAAGATATCCAAATGAATTAGGAACATTCCCAATATCATACGAACAACCTTCCGAAACATAGATGGCGGCATCACTATTTTGTAAAAGGAAAACTAGAAGTAGCCTAAGATAATATGCAAAACCAGAGGGAGAGAGAGGGAGAGAGCTTACTCCCATGCTGGCTCGATATCCTTGTTCCATATTCCCTGCAGGTTAGCCACCTGAGTTCCAGGCCGTGAACAAGAAATAAGCAGATATCGACCAAACTGGAATAAAAGCTCAACCAAAGAAGGATCTTCATCAGCTTGAAAGGATTTCACCCTCTCTGCTGTTGAAACTGTCTTATTGTCACTACCTTCTAAACATACATCAGTTGCACAAGACAAAAGTTTCTTCATCTCTATAGACTCATCTTCTCCAACATTCTTGGAGCTTTTTGAGAGCTGCAGTGAGACACGGTGGAAAAGGTTTTGATAGTCATCCAAATGCCGTGCAGAAAGATCAGAATACGACAAGTTTCTTATTGCTTTCAACGTGGCTAGAGACTCGGAAGTAGGATCTTTTTTTGAATCTATAGGCTTAGTGAATGGCCCGTCAAATGAAGATGATGCCACTAGAAGCAGAACAGCCCAATCAGAACCCTCAACCTTTAATTTCCTGTCATCCAAAACATGTATAGTACCCACACCATTACTGATCTGCAACTCAAGAACTACAGAAAACTGAATTCCCTTGGGATTGTCATTTTCATTCACTTTTTTTGGTGGGATTCTTTTACCAGGACAACTTCCCTCCATGATAATCAGATTTTTTCCATTTACATATGAATGATGATGGAGCTGGCTGTCTAAAGACACCACAAAGGAGACAGACCCTGATTTGTTTCCAGAAATCTTTGTCACGATCACTTGATCTGGGTTTGAGGCAAAATGTTCCCTTGTGAATTCAACTTCACCTACGGAATATTTAACTTTTGCCGTTGCAGTATCCAAGTCCAGCTCTCTCTGATACGTTTCTTCATTATATGCAGCATGAGAAGCATCAAATTCTAGCTTGATATCACCCAGTAGCTGGTAAACCTACATCATCACAAGAAATTACAAGGATATAATTCAATAACAAATTCAAGCTGTTTTTTATAGCATGAATTCTTAGTCATCAAGATAGAAGGTTATCAACTTTGACTCATAATCAAGCCATGTGAATATAAATCTATTTTTATATCTTGCATGAATCACCTTGGTTTTTTTACATTTGCATAGGAGCCTCAATGGAAAGATCTCTCTCTCTCTAGATTTTAACTCTTCCAGGGGAAAAGTCAAGTTTTGGCTCAAGAAAAAGACCAAATACACACTCAGTGGTGGATATCTCACAAACTACATGTTTGAATTGGTACAAGGATTTAATTATGGACATTGAAGGGGGCACAATTACTCAAACCTATTTATATGGAACCTCATTGGAGTGGACGAAAGTCCCCACTCCGTACTCAAGCCTATTTGTATGGAACCTCGTTGGACTGGACGAAGGTCCCCACTCCGCACTCAAGCCTATTTGCATGGAGCCTCGTTGGACTGGATGAAGGTCCCCACTCCGTATTGAAGCCTATTTGTATGAAGCCTCGTTGGACTGGACAGAAGTTCCCACTCCGAAGTGGGCTCTTTCTCTCCACTCTATAATGGGCCGAGCTAAGGGATTAGTCTTGGCCCACTCCCCACTCTAAACAGGGGAGACCATGGGCCTGGCCCTAGCACCACTCCCCACTCCAAAGTGGGTAAGTCAATAACTTGGGCTCCAAGGCTCCCACTCCACGACACATGAGTGCTAACAAATCAATCAATACCATGTAAAGTAAAAAGCACGTGGTGCCCGCGAATGGCGGAACTTGCTCCCCTCTATTAACGGATGTGCTACCATCACGGCTGAGGACCAGGCGAAGAACGAGGGAGCTTGATGAATAAGTCATATGATCCTTATAAAAGATAAACTTACTCTCCGTGAAAGGGGCAATCTCTTAACTCTAGAAACACACTGGTCTTCTCTATCTTATCTCTACCAAACTCCAATACTGACTCGACCGTCGGAGGGGTTTCCGACCAACCCCCGGTCGGGCAGCCTAACTATTTGTTCCTTGTGCAGGCCTTCACCCATCGGTGCACCAGGGTTCGTCCACGAAGTTCCATCTTACTCTATTGCGGAAACTAGTCCGCACATTTGGCGCCGTCTGTGGGAATCGTTCTCTGATTGCTTTGTGACGAACTCTGACGATGGATATTGAAGGAACCTCGCAACTTGGGATGGGAGAGAAGACTCCAGGAACGGAGAGAACCAAAGACAAGGGTCTGGCCTTCCCTACCGGGAACGACAACCTGATGGACCACGACAATCCGACCCCCCATACGGCGAAGCGACGTCCTGTCGCCGCCTATCAGTCATCTCAACAGCTGTTTGTTGAGAAGGACCACCATGATCGTGTCATCGACTCGATGAGTCTAGAGATTGAGGAGCTACGTGCTCAACTGAGGAAGCAGATAGTACCTCAGGGTGAGCTAAGGAAGTCCGGAAGGGGATCGTTGCAGCAACGGAGGCACACTCCTCCGCCACCCCCACGACGTAAACGATCTAACTACGTTCTTGCTCGTGGTGAGCGTAGCCGGCCGATTCCGGTACGCAGTGAGGGAGCCAGTAGTAGGACAGAGAATCCCCGAGAAGACTCTCGCACCATCAGTCATTATTCAACAATCTCTCCTTCTCCGCGCTGTCGTGACGAGCGACCATGTGACTTGAGGACATGGTTGAACGACATCCAAGGGGATGACCGACGGTCGAACAAAGTAGCAGAACGGCGATTAGAAAGGGAAAAGGAGCATCTAGATCGGTCCGTTCATCAGATAGAGCATTGTGCTCTGGACCGACTAGTCTCTTCCCCCCTTTGCCCTAAGATTGAAGCAGTGGAAGCTCCTCATAAGTACAGTCCACCGAAATTTATCCTCTATGATGGGAAGTCAGACCCCCTGACTCATATCAGCCATTACCGCCAAATGATGTCACTTTGGAATCAGAACGATGCGTTCATGTGCAAGGTTTTTGCCTCTAGCCTTGGTGAGCACGGCCTCCGATGGTATGACAAGCTTTCTCTTCAATCAATCTATGATTGGGCTCAGCTCTCCGAAGCCTTCCTCGCACAGTTTGTTTCTAATAGCCGAATCTCGAAGGGATTGGATACCTTGTTCAATACTCGGAAGGATAAAAAGGAGTCTTTGCGCGAATACGCTCGGTGATATTGGGAGGCATATGGCGATTTGGAAGAAAATGTTTGTAGTGAGCTGTTGGCAGCTCTATACTTCAATGGTATGACAAGCTTCCTCTTCAATCAATCTATGATTGGGGCTCAGCTCTCCGAAACCTTCCTCGCACAGTTTGTTTCTAATAGCAGAATCCCGAAGGGATTGGATACCTTGTTCAATACTCGGAAGGATAAAAAGGAGTCTTTGCGCGAATACACTCGGTGATATTGGGACGCATATGGCGATTTGGAAGAAAATGTTTGTAGTGAGCTGTTGGCAGCTCTATACTTTAAACAAGGCCTCCCCCTTTTACATAAGCTCAAGCAGTCATTGACGAAACGACCCGCCTCTGACTTGAAAGAGCTGAGGGCTCGAATAGAGGAGCGAGCCCGTGTGGAAGATGACACAGCCTCTATACAAGTGTCAGTTGCGGATGAGGGAGTTAAGGCCTCTTGGCAACATAGGGCCAAACAGCCTAGGAGGGAGGACCAAAGAAGGAGGTATGACCAAAATAAGCAACCAACCATGCAAACCAAAGAAGAAAGGAGTAGATCCTACAAATCCATAACCATTGTGTTCACAGAGCCGATCTACAGGCTCTTGGAAAAAATAAAGGGAGAACCCTACTTCATTTGGCCTCCTAAGATGATGGGGGACCCTGCTCAACGCAACCATGAGTGGCAGTGCACCTACCATCGTGAGAAAGGGCATAAGACGCAAAACTGCAAAGACCTTAAAAGGCATCTCGAAGACTTGGTCACTGTTGGCCACCTCCAGCAATGGATCGATGTGGAAAAGACAAGGGCAAAACAGGGACAACCCCCAGCCCTTCCACCAGAGGACCAAGCCCCAAGGCTAATGAACAACGTCATCTCCACATCGATCAGCGAGGGATCCAACATCCTCACACTGATGCCCTAAAGAACATCTGTGTCGTACATATTTTCAACGCTTTCATATGTGTCGTACATATTTTCGCTCGGCAATTGAGCAAGAACGGGTTACAAGTCTTAACCTACACCCCAGCCTGCAAACTCGGCCCTTTGGTCAAAGTAGGGCGCCAAGTGGTATAACTTGGTGGAATTTGTGCCAAGTATCGTTACTTCAAAGCATGGTCCATGATAACAACTCGCGCTCAACGCAGAGCCGAGTTACACTCTACGATGAGTTAAGCTTGACCGAATCAAGTAAAGGTCGAGCAACGAAATACTCAGCCGAATCCAACTAGACATTTCTAAGGCACAAAGCCTGATCTGCCCGATTAGACGCCCTATATAGTCTCAGAGCCTTTGCTCGACTAGGGGCATGGAAAGTTCTTTCTTCTAATTTTTCTAAGGCACAATGCCTATTTTGCCTGAATAGACGGTCTGCTCGGCTACGATGCCTCTGCTTGGCCGGAGGGCATGGAAAATTCTTTCCTCAAATTTTTCTAAGGCACAAAGTCTAGTTTTACCGAACAAATGGCCTCCTTCCCTACGGCGTCTCTGCTCGGATTGGGGGCATCAAAAGTTATTTCTTCCAATTTTTTTACGGCACGAAGCCTAATCAGACCGAATAGGTGGCCTCCTTCTCTAGAGAGCCCCTGCTCAGTCGGGGGCAAGCATAACACATGCAAGCAAAAATTAGAAATTGAAGTTCAAGACATTCAAAAGTGCAACAAAGCATGGCATTACTATAAAGCATCCATTACAAAAAGAGGAGCTCGGCTTTACAAAATGACGGTGTCTAGCTAGCCGAACTCCAACACTTTCACAAAAAAAAAGAAAAAAAAAGAAAAAAGAATTGTTTATTATTATTTACGGTATAACTTTATCACAACCAAGCTACTCAGGGACCGAAGTAATGATCAATTTTTTTAAAATATATATATATAAATAATAATAATGTTCAAAAGTCAAGAATCATGGCCTAGCAAGCACTCATTCAAATTGTTTATAAGTTAAAGGCCATGAACACGGGCCATACAAATAAAGCAATAATAAACTTGGTGGATTTCGGGGCCCACCCAGCTAATCTATGCAAACCCAAGTATTTAAATTAGCAAACTTGGCAATTCCAAGTCAAAAGGTGGTCGCCAGGACAACATGCCTAATCAAAATCTATGACTGGGCCGAGATGACTATTTTAAAAGCAAAAATATATATATATATAAATAAAATAAATAAATTTGAAGGCCGATGTAAAGTTTGAGCAAATTGGACCGAGATACAAATAATGGCTTCCACTCAATAATTTTTAGTGCTAGCCAGAGGGCAAATGAAGGGGGCACAATTACTCAAACCTATTTATATGAAACCTCGTTGGAATAGACAAAGGTCCCCACTCCGTACTCAAGCCTATTTGTATGGAACCTCATTGGGTTGGACGAAGGTCCACACTCCGTACTCAAGCCTATTTGTATGGAACCTCGTTAGACTGGACGAAGGTCCCCACTCCGTACTCAAGCCTATTTGTATGGAGCCTAGTTAGACTGGACGAAGGTCCCCACTCCGTACTCAAGCCTATTTTTATGAAGCCTCGTTGGACTGGACGAAGGTCCCAACTGCGAAGTGGGCTCTCTCTCTCCACCCTATGATGGGCCGAGCTAAGGAATCAGTCTTAGCCGACTCCCCACTCCGAAGAGGGGAAGACCATGGGCCTGGCCCTAGCACCACTCCCCACTCCGAAGTGGGTAAGTCCATAACTTGGGCTCCAAGGCTTCCACTCTACGACACACGAGTGCTAACAGATCAATCAATACCATGTAAAGTAAAAAGCACGTGGTGCCCGCGAATGACAGAACTTGCTCCCCTCTATTAAGGGATGTGCTACCATCACGGCTAAGGACCAGGCAGAGAACGATGGAGCTTGATGAATAAATCATACGATCCTTATAAAAGGTAACCTTACTCTCCTTGAAAGGAGCGATCTCTTAACACTAGAAACACACTGGTCTTCTCTATCTTGTCTCTACCGAACTCCAGTACTGACTCGACCGTCGGAGGGGTTTCCGACCAACCCCCGGTCGGGCAGCCTAACTATTTGTTCCTTGTGCAGGCCTTCACCCATCGGTGCACCAGGGTTCGTCCACGAAATTCCATCTTATTCTATTGCGGAAACTGGTCCGCACAGACATCTTTTAGAAATATAAAAGCTTCTTGACATTTTGTTTTGATCCAATGGTGAAGGCTACATGAAGGGGGGAGCCCTCCCCATGCCCATAACCCTTCCTATTCGGGACGAAGGTGGGGCTCAACCCCAGTTTTTGATACCACCACCAAGAGACTTTACCAAATAAGCTAATCATCTAATAGTCAACAGGGTTGGAATCAGTGTTAAAATTCTACAAATTTATAATGTTACATATTTAGTAGGGAACATTTATCAAGCAATTAGTAATGAAACTAAGAAAACAGCTGCAATAAAGGTAATGAAGCAACATACTTCACAAAGACTGCCTAACAAATTTTCCCCTTCAATAGTAGCTTCAGCATATTGGCCATTGTCAACAAGCTTTCTGACCTTAGATAGTGCCTCAGGAACATCTGGGTCTGTGTAGTTCCCAGGAATCCCAGTCCAAAGAGTGTCCTCTACCAAAACAATTCAAATTATCTGGCTTAAGCATTACTCTCATAATCAGAGAGAGAGAAATTTCAATTGCTTCAATTTATAATAATGTATATGATTAAATCTCTATTTGGTTGTTGAGAAACTTGCTCAAAAATAAATTAGGTGATAAATGATGAGAAATAACGAGAAATGTAGAGGCAAGTATTTTCTTATTTTTTTCAATTTCATTCCTCCCCAAAAAATTGGTTATATGTTTTTCAGAATTCATAATAGCAAACACGGAGAAGATTCAAAAATACATTCTCTTTCAGTTCCTCTGTTTCTCTTTTAGTCATCAAACAGAGTTGTATCCAAATTAAACTATATGAACTAATAAAATGCATGTATAAAATACTCAACTGAGACCAATAAGAGACCATAAAACAGACAACTCAAGTCAAATAACCATTTTAAACAATTTTAGTGACAACTCAACCGTGCTTTAACCATCCATTTATTTCCAAGAAAATGCAGTAAAGAAAAAGAACCAAACCTTTTTGTCTAGAAACGATACATCACTTCAATTCCAAGAAAACGCAGAAAATAAACAGCTTCAATTTAAAAATATTTTTTCAAAAAAAACAAAAACTCTCAGTATTTGAATTTATAACAAATTAAAATTTTAATTTTGCTAATTTAAATCCTAATTTTGATTTATTTTTCATCTAAAATCAGTTTATTTTTGTTAAGTAAAATCCTAAAAAATACCTGTGTTTTGTTTCAATTTTTAAAAAATTTAGGTTCCGTTTGGTAAGACTGTCTAACTATGATTTAAGAATATGAGTTGTATTTTGAGTTTGTGTGTTTTGAAATTATGATTTGAGTGTAGAAAATTTGTTTGATTATGATTTTTGAATAGAGTGTTGAATTGAGTTTTGAATTGAGTGTGGAATTGAGTTTTGAAAGTTGGATTTGACATGTGAAGTAAGAAAAATTGTTTCGTTATGAGTTTTGAAAAGAGTTTTCAAAACTTAATTCAAATTGTTATAACTCATAACAAAACACACTACTTTCACACTATTGAAAATTCTGATCAACACTCATAACCAAACTCTTTTTAAAATTTAATTAAAAAAATTTATTATTAACAGAAAATAATATTAATTAATTTTTTAATTGAAAATACTATAAATGAGAAATAATTTTTTCAAAATAAATATTCAAAAATATTAAATCATAAATATTTAAAATAATTTAAATAATCTAAAAAATTTAAAATAAAAAATTTAAATAAATATTAAATAATTTAAATGTGTAAAAAATTAAATAATTTAAATATCAAAAAATTTAATAATTTAAAATTTTATATTTTAAATTAAAAACGCTCAACTACACTCAAATCGTAACCAACACATAAAACAAAACTCATTAAGAAATTATTTTAAAACTCATAACCAAACATATAACTCAGAACTCCATATTACTTTCACACTCTTACACTCAAATCGTAACCACATACATAACAAAAAAATTCAAATATTCAAAAATATTTAATAAAAGAGTTTGAATTTATTTTTATAAATATTTTAAAATTTAAAAATTAAAATACGTATATATTAAAAAATATTCAAAAATTAAAAAAAATCGTAACATATTATATTAAAATTTAAAAATTATACAAATAATTAAAATATTTTAAAAATATTAAAAAATTAAATTTGATTTAATTGAGTTTTAAAAAAGAGTTTTGAATTATAGTATTTGGTTAGAATTTGAATGCTTGTTTAGTTTATTTTTGGGAGAGTTGTTTTTGGAAAAAAATTTGGGAGAGTTATTTAGAAATTTTTTGTTGTTGTTTTGATTGTATATTTTGAAAGTAGTTTTGGAGTTTGGGAGTTTTGGGATGATTTGATATTTTGTTGTAATTGAGTAAATGTTGTTGAAAGAAAAAGTGATTGAGAAGGAGAAAGGAGAGAAAAAGTGATTGATTGATGTGTAAGAGAGAGAAAGTGATTTTTGCAAATTTGAGAAAAATCTCAAACCAAAGAATTTTTTAGAATTTTTTTTCTAAACTCATCTGTAAAACTCAAACTAAACATACCCATTATGCTTTAAAATTGAGTTTTGAGAAATGTGTGGAGAATTATGATTTGAAGACTCAAAACAGAAACGCAACCTTAAAATCAATGCGTGGAACTATAATTTGAAAAGCTTATCAAACGGAGCCTTAGTTTTTTTCCATGTTGTTTTTTAACGGAATATTTTTAAAATTTTAACTAATTTTTTTTTTTTTACTTTATATGGCGACGTTACTTAAATTTAAATATAATTTAAAAAGTTAACAATTTATAAAAAATATTTTAAAAAAAATAATAAATAACAAAATTTATGAAATATATAAATTTTTTGTATTTTTGTAAAATTTTAAAAAAAAATCACAAATATTATATTTTTTTAAGTATATTTATATTAGGTATATTTAAAATTTTAAAAATTATTGAAAATATTAAAAAAAATTATTGAAAATATAAAAAAAAAATACGAAAAATAAAAAAATTTCAACTTTATGAAACCAAACCAGCATAGCCATTAAACTCGACAACAGTAATGTTTCTTACACTGAGTTTAATAATTTACATTTTTTCTTATCAGTAAATTTAAATTGATAAAATTAAAAAAAATATTTTATTAAGTCATTTTATTTTCTTGGCAACCAAACAAATAGGAGAGGAAAATCAGAGGAGGAGGTGGGTTGTTACCGTTGAGATTGAGGGTCTCAGAAGCAACACCGCCCCAAACCATAGCACCGAGTCGGCCATTGCCGATTGGAATTGCATCGGTCCAGTACTTAGCTGGACCACTGAACTCAACCTTTAGAGCCTTCGAATTCGAAGTCTCTTCTGTTTCAAATTCAATTGATGAGCTTCTTGGTTCCCACGAGTAATTCTCTGAGGGTCGTCGCACCAGAACCCGATCACCATCTACTTCCATTGGAGACACCTAAACCTAACAGTAAAAGGAAATGAGTGAAGGAGAAGATCACAAAAACAACAAGGGGTAGAGTAGAGTGGCTATTCTATTCTATTCTATTCTATTATTGCTGTGACAATGACAGGTTATAAAGGTTTGCTTCGTTAACGACGCTAATAAGCTCGCATCACACTATTTGTTTATTACAATTTACAAACTACTCTTTTTAAGATGGGAGCTGCTTCACTCCGGTCTGAGATTGGATTGAACGGCATTGTTTAATATGTGGAGGTTCATCACAATTTTTTTTTTTGATAATTTAAATCATTCAATATGTATATCTCGCTGAGCATTATATGTCTGTAAAAAATTATATTGATCAGATATCGATAGTTATGTGATCAAATCAGTTTTGTATTAAAAAAAATGACGGTAAACAAATTAACGGTTGATAAAAAATTAATCCGATGAGATAACTATTGATATCCAATTAATATTATTTTTTACAATAATGTAGCACTCGACAATTTCTACGTATTGAACAACTTGAATTATCAAAACGAGACTCATGATAAGCCTCTACAAAAGAAACAGTACCGTCCAATCCGATCTTAAATTGGAGGCAAGCTGCTTGCTTTTAAAATATGCAAATTTATTCCTTGCCTAAAATAAAATCAATATTTAACATAAATTTATCTATCAAAGAAAAATTATAGTGAACCAAAAAAATATATAATAATGTAAGGGATTGTTTGGAATAATTTAAACAAGTGTATTTTTTATTTTTTATAAAAAATATAATAATGTAAGGAATTGTTTGGAATAATTTAAATAAGTTATTTTTTATAAAAAATATAATAATGTAAGGAATTGTTTGGAATAATTTAAATAAGTGTATTTTTTATTTTTTTAAAAATATATAAAAATATATAAAAATGATGTCACTTAAAAATGATAAAAAAAAAATATTAATATAGAGGATGCTAGACAAACCCAATATATTTTTTTTATTTATGTTTTTGTTTTTGTTTTTGATTTTTTTTTTTTGTCTTGGAGACGTTGTTACGTGGTGCTTATATAAATATAAAAAGTTGATATCACTTTATTAGTTTAACATTAGCGTAACAATATTTAGGAAGTTAATAATTATCAAGTCTAACAATTAACCCAAATAAAATTAACCCAAATAAATATCACAAATAATTTAAATTTCTCTTATTTTTGTTCATAGTTAAGAAACTAATTAGAAATAATATTTTAAAAAATTGCTAGAAATCTATAAATGCACCACAAATACTACCTGGTAGTATCACCCTCCAATAAACAATATTGATTTGCAATTGCGAGCACAGCAATGTTGGGTTAATAGAAGACAAGACTTGTCCACTTAATTTATTTGTGATTTTTTATTGGCCCATCATTAAGAATGTACAAACTTATCTGGTTGAGGTTGGTGTTGAATTTGCACTATATAATAAGAAAATGATTTTTTTTTAAGCGTGCCTTGTATATAGTATGCAAGGCATTTACGACCTTTCTATTTTGCATTTACACCTTCTATGTATTGAGTTATACGACATTTTCTTAAAAGTTTACACGTTGGTGACCTTCTAAACGGGGTCCCTTACAGGTAAATTAATTAAATAATGTGAAAATATAAACTTTTAGTAAAAGAAGTAAACCTTCAGAAAATGGTGCAAGGGTTTAAAAAAAATTTCAGTTGTTTCAGAAAAAGTGTAACATTTAATTTAGTGTAAATTTTATCGACAAATAAGAGTTTAGTCGCTAAGGTTTGAAATTTTATTACCGTCGGCCCCCCTCTTCTCTGTTTCCCACAAACACCTTCTCTGTTCTCTCTGACACGCACACAGAATAGTCACCACCAATCCTAACCCCCGCTGACCACCCAAGCGTCGGTGGCCTCCGGTGCTCACTGCCGTCTGATATCGCCACCTCCACGGCCACCGCTGCCGCAAATGAAAAGTTTTTTTTCTCTCTCGCTATCGATCTTGGTCTCTCTCTGTCGATGTCGGCTTATTCTCCGTTGATGTTGGTCTCTCTCTGTCGATCCCTGTCTATCTCGATCTGTCTCCAGCGATCTTGGTCTGTCTGTGTCCATGTGGGTCTCTTCTCTGTCGATTTCGGTCCCTGTTTGTCGATCTCGGTCTGGCTGTCTCTGTCGATCACTGTCCATCTAGGTGTCTATGTCTGTCGATCTCAGTCCATCTCTCTCTCTCTCTGTCCCTTGCTCTATATTAAAAACGGTTCTCTTTCACATTGACATACTTAGTTGGATTTGGTCTTGGAGTCGTTATTCCAAGCCTTTCCAAACTCGTCTTCTCTGAAACGGACTTCTACTGAGAGAAAGACCAAGTCCTCCGAAACGCCCTTCTCTCTCACATTGCCATTATTTGAACAAGACAAATACAGTTTGATTGGATTTTAGGAACTTACATGTTTTGTGAAAAAACAGAACTTACACGTTATGCGAAGTTACTTACATCTCTTGTGAAAACACCTACACTATTTGTGGAAGGTTACACATTTGTGTAATAATTTATTTTGTAAAATTGATACGTTTTCGTTGAAATACTTACACCTTTTTTGAGAAGTTACTACTTTTGTAAAGAATGTTATTAAAAGAATTTACATACACCTTTTTTGAGAAGTTACTACTTTTGTAAAGAATGTTATTAAAAGAATTTACACCTTTTCTGAGAACCGAACTTACACTTTTTGTCGAATAATTTACATCTTGTGTGAAAAAATTTATACCTATGGAAAATATGTTTTCATAAAGTTTACACCTTTTGTTAAAAACTTAAATATTTTCTGAAAGTTTACACCTTTTGTTAAAAACTTAAATGTTTTCTGAAAGTTTACACCTTTTATGAGAAGTTACTATGTTTGTGAGACAATTTTTTTGAGAAAATATACACCTTTCATTAGAGCTTGCACCTTTTGTGACACAACTTACAGCTTTTCTTATGGAAATCCGAATTATATTTTCCATAAAATTTACACCTTTAATGGGAAGTTACACCATTTGTGACATAACTTCGATCTTTTGTGAAAAACACATACAAGTTTTTGAAAAGGTACTCCTTTTGTGAAACAAAATTTTTTTAAAAATTTACACCTTTTAAATAGGAGTTACATCTTTGGTGAAGACAATTAGACCTTTTTTAAAAATTTACACGTTTTATGGAAAATATGCTTTCATAAAGTTTGTTAAAAGAAATTATTTGACAAAAGGTATAACCTTTTCAAATATGGTGTATGTTTTTCTGAAGAAGGTATAAATGACCTTAGAAAAGATGAAAGTTTTGTTTTTCACTAAAGGTATAACTTCAAATAATAAGTGTAAATTTTATGAAAAAGGTTTTTCCACAAAATGTGTAATTTTTCAAAAAAGTTGTAAATATTTCCACGACAAGATGTAAATTTTTAGAAAAATGTGTAAAATTTAGGAATAGGTGTAAACTTTGTGATACAATAAAGCTGAATATTTCGTTTTTACAAAAGATATAAGTTCCCAAAGAAGCTCTAAATTTTATCGACGACTTATACGTTGAAAATTTTATCACCACCAACCAGCCAACCGTCGCGACCCACCGTTGCCCACCGCCGACTGACAATGCCACCGCCGCTGTTGCAAATCAAAGGATTTTTCTGTCTCTATCTATCTTGGTCTCTCTTTGTGCATCTCTGGCTCTTCTCTGTCGATGTCGGTCTCTCTCTTTCTGTCTACCGATCTCTGTCTGTATCGATCTTGGTTTGTCTGTGTCGACCTAGGTCCGTCTCTCTCTGTCGAAACATGTCTATCTGGGCTCTCTCTGTCTGCCGATCTCTGTCTGTATCGATCTTCGTTTGTCTGTGTCGATCTGGGTCCGTCTCTCTCTGTCGAAGCATGTCTATCTGGGCTCTCTTTGTCTGCCGATCTCTGTCTGTATCGATCTTGGTTTGTCTGTGTCAATCTGGGTTTGTCTTTCTCTGTCCAACCATGCCTATCTCGGTCTCTGTCTGTCGATATCGGTCCGTCTCTCTCCCTCCCTTCGTCTCTGTCTGTCTATATCGATATCGAACCATGAACAACACAAATACAGTTTGATTGCGTTGTAGCAACTTACTCGTTCTGCGAAAATCGGAACTTACCCCTTTTTTGAAGTTAATTTCATCTTTTGTGAAAACACTTACAGTAATTCTGGAAGGTTACAATTTTTTGTGAAATAATTTATTTTGGAAATTTACACATTTTCGTTCAAATACATACACCTTTTCGAAAAAGTTACCTCTTTTGTAAAATAATTTCAATACAAAAATTTACACATTTTATTTGAAGTTACACTATTCTGAAAACAGAACATAAACCTTTTGTCAAATAACATACATCTTTTGTGAAAAAAAATTTACACCTTTTATGGAAAACTATATTTCATAAAATATACACCTTTTGTTAAAAAAAACTTACACATTTTCTTAAAGTTTACACCTTTTGTTGGAAATACTTACCCGTTATCTAAAAAGTTACTCCATTTGTGAAATAATTTTTTGAATAAAATTTACACCTCTTATTAGAACTTACACCTTTTTTGAAAACAAAAGTTACACTTTGTGGGACATAACTTACATCCTTTATGAAAACAGTTACATCTTTTTTTAAAATTTCCACCGTTTCTTAAAAACTTACACCCATTCTGAGAGGTTACTCCTATTGTGAAATACCTTTTATATTACTTACACCTTTTCCAAAATCAAAAGTTACACATTTTGTGACATAACTTAAATCTTTTGTGAAAATAGTTACACGGTTTTTGAAACTTTACACTTTTTTATGAAAATATGTTTTCGTAAAGTTTACACTTTTTTGTTAAAAACTGACATTTTTTTCTAAAAGTGTATACCTTTTGGGGAAAAGATTTACAAAACTTTTCAGAAATGGTGTAAGTACATCCACTGAAAGGTTTAAACTTAGTGTAAGGATTCACAAAAGGTATAAATTTTATGAAACCAAATTTTCCATAAAAAGTGTAAATTTTATGGAAAATATTAACTTACAAATGAAGCAACTTTTCAGAAAAAGGTGTAAGTATTTGCACGAAAGGGTGTATGTTTTTAGCAAAAGGTATAATTGTATGAAAAAATTTATTTCACAAAAGGTGTAACTTTTCAAAAAAGATTTATGTTTTTCACAGAAGGTGTAAATGA